ATCCTGGGTGAACTTCTCCGCTCCCCTCTGGCTCCTCCAGGAGCCATCTCTGGCTTCTGGGGGAGCTTTCTGCTGGTTTTAGGCAGTCTTTACTGAAGAAATGTCCCTGATCTAAAATGGTGATGCGGGACGCAGTCCCTGTGCATCCGTTCTCAGGCACACACTTCTGCGCGCCTGGTCTGCCCCGGACGTGGGTGCCTTCTCCCTCTGTGGGCTCAGACTGCTGGTTGAAAGGGGCCTGGCATGGGCTAACTTCCCAGCTGGCCACTGGGTCCTCCAGAACCCTTCTGCCCTTTTCAAGAAGTCTTTTCTTAAGAAATTTCCCCGTTCTATGGGGTGTTAGTGACTTTTTTTTCTGGTCGCTAGGTGGCGCCAGAGATCTCTCCTATTGTCCTTGGGGGGCTGCTTTTCGACGCGCCCCCCCCCTCCCCCGTGGGACGGGGAACAGAGCAAGAATGGTAGGGTAAACCTCAACAGCTTTGGGGTGCTGTGTCTGCCTTGTGCCCCACCGTCGTGGAGAACCCACGCCCCGAATTTTGTGCCCCGGGTCTCAATTCCAAAGCCCTCAGGTCCAGGATGCGGGCTGTAGCCCAGTTCAGTGGCGCGGGAATGGCGCCTTTTGCACCCCGCTCCCGTGCCTGGGCACCTGGTTCCTGCTCACTCAGTGAGGGACTTTCACCTCAGTGAGGGCCTCAGCGTGTCTCCCTGCAAGCCTAGGTCGCAGGCGCGGGGACCTGGGCAGCTGTGATACAGATCCGCGTTTGCTTTTCAAGTGAGCCAAGGGAGCTGCTTTTCTGTGCAAGCTTACTGGCTGGCCTGGGGCTGTGTGCAGGTCTCCTCCAGAGTCTCTTTGTTCTCCATTGTTGCCCGGAGCCGCTCGCTCACCACTGCTTTGAATCCTGCAGGGTTCTCCACAGCTCCAGTTCACGGGGTGTGGTGGAGTTTGTTCTTGTTGGTCGTTTTAGTTTGTTTTTTTCCTCCTCTCTGCCGGTCGGAGAGTGCCGAATTTGTGGGCGGGGGAGGAGAGCAGGGTTCTGCGCTTTCCTCCCTTCTAGTCCTCTTTTATGGCAACTTTCTTCTTCGGGCAGTTTGCTGGACCTGCCGCTTTTCCTCCCTATTAACTTTTTTTAATGGGAGATCTTACTCGCAGCGTCTCCTCGCTGCCATGTTGCTCCGCCCCTTCCTTTTCTACTTCGCTATTCTTAAGAAGCCCTTTTTCTTGTTAAATTATTGCTTTTTTGTGGGCTTTGTCAATTCTAGAGTTTGAGTTTAGCCATAACTTTTTAAAGAGATATCACTCATTTTAAATTATTTTGAGAGTCGGTTGCTTGATTTCTTACGGAGCTAATTAGTTTTTTTTTTTTGAAGATTTATTTATTTATGCATACAAGAACTGGGGTGTAAGCCAGAGGTGCAGGGGCGGGAGGGGTGAGAGGATTCGCCAGGAAGATTGGGGAGCAGAACAGGCAGAGCTACTGAAACACACTGCTGAGGGGAGCAGTGGGTGATACAGGAGAGGTCTGCTGTACCCTGTGGGTCAGCTCTCTGGCTGGGGTGGGTCAAACTCCTGCTGTAGTGGCTGGAGATAGCTTGATAGCTTTGTCTTTAACCCCTGTGATAGCTTCATAGTGCTGTCTTTAACCCCTGCACCACCAGAGAGGCCCTAATTGGTTTTTGTATATGCATCTTTTTTGAACTTTTATCTTGGTCATTATTGTAATAAAAGATTTAATAAGCTGTCCCATTGCACAGTAGTGGCATTATAGTTAGACCTCTGCAAAATAGCAGATTTGATGTTTTAGTAACCCCCTTAGAATTCAGACATTTGTGCCAACGAAAGTCTGTTATATACTAATAGTGGGGAAAACACCCTTAAATTCTCTCCATAAGTTTATAGTACATCAGAAATCTCAAGCTTACTGACAACTATTGGTCCCCAATAATTGCCATTTCAGTGGCATTTGGAATAGAGAGTTCCTCTGTTGGAATGAGAGTTCCTCTGTTCACTATCTTAAAATGAAAAGCCTCTGTCTGGTTCCTTTTAGGTCTCAGACATCAATATTTCGCTATATACATGATTTATGGATATTAGGTGTTTGTGTAACTCTTTGTCCGGTTTTAAAATCAAAATATTTAAAATTTCATGAAATAAGTTAGAGATCCTTGTTTTAATTGCTACTGAAAGATTTGATCACACACATATAAAATAGCTGGCTTGGTGTCTTATTTGGTAGTTTTTGCTTTTAAAAATTCTTGTGATTATTAGTCTGGTCTGTTTTTGTCATTTCTAAACAGTTGATCTTTTTAGAATCTTCTTATTAAAGCATACATTTCAGGGCCTCCCCGGTGGCGCAGCGGTTGAGCGCTGGGTTGCGAAGCTGCCCACAGCCTCTGCAGTGCCGGTTTGATCCCCAGCCACTGGGCGAGGGTCCCACGTGGCGCGCAGACCTCTCCTGCCGCCCGCTGCTCCCCTCAGCAGTGTACTTCATCAGTCTGCCTGCTCTTCTCTCCCCTCTGGCTCTGGTGAAGTCTCTCACCCTCCCACACTTCTGACTGTACCCAGTGCTTGTATAAATAAATAAATAAATAAATCTTAAAAAATTAAAAAAAAAATAAAGCATACATTTCTCTTGTTAGAAGACAGTGTGTAAAATAGTTTTGTTAAATCTACTTTTTCATTGTTAATATGTATATTGTTTGCTTGTTAGATTTCCCAAAGATTTTTAATGTTTTTTTAATTTCTTTTAGATGGGTAGTTACTAATTTTAATTGCTTTCAGTTTCACTAAGTTGTACTTACTTTCTGATTAATTCTTTGTAGCTTCTTTTTTGGTTACTTTTTAATGAAAGCATTAATTAAGTTACTTTTAGAGTTTTGCCATATTCTAGAAGCATTGATAGCAGTTTTTAGTGCACATTTCTGAATACTATCAGATTAATGCCCAAGAACTTTTACATTACTGATAGTATTTTTGAATTGCTGAAAAGACTTCAGAAAATATTTTGTCCATTTTCATCAATTAATATTATATTCACTTTAACTCAGCAAACCATCCCCCATCTTAGATATTTTTTCCTATTTAAGCTGACAATAAAAAATATTTTTAAAAAGGTGTCTCAGTGTTCATATTTGGGGACCAATTTATATACATGGTGGTATGTGTACTTAGTGGAATAGTGTTGAACCATTCAAATCAGATGACTTGTAGTGATGGAAAGATAAAGAAGGTTATTCATGGTATAGATTACAATTGGAAAAAAAAAACAAGTTATATGATAGTATAAACCTCATTCATGTACAAATAGAGCCATAAGCATTTTTAATGAATAGAAATGATTTTTTAATTATATCAAAGTTTTGTTGAGTCAATACTGGTTTACAGCACTGTTTATGATTTATGGGTATAGGTTTACACTGAGGGTGTATGTTACCATACCATGTCCACCACCAAAGCACCAATAGCCATACCCTGTAAACTGTTGGGTCCCCTCCCCTATTTACTTCCCAACTCACCCTCTGTTCTGGTGGCCTCAGTAGACATGCCATATGATCCAGTGCTTCCACTCCTAGTTATCTGTCTGAAGAGTATGAAAACACTAATTTCATGGGATATATGCATGCCTGATTCATTGCAGCACTGTTTATAATAGCTTATAAAAAATCATATTTTAGTTTATTTGCTGATATTTTTTTTAAAAAATATTTATTTATTATACAAGCACTGGGTACAGTCAGAAGCGCGGGAGGGTGAGAGAATTCACTAGAGCCAGAGTGGGGAGCAGAGCAGGCAGAAGGACCAAAGTACACTGCTGAGGGGAGCAGCGGGCAGCAGGAGTGGTCTACGCGCCATGTGGGACCCTCCTCTGGTGGCCGCTGAGCAGCCGGGGATCGAACCAGCGCTGCCGAGGCTGCGGGCACCTTCGCAACCCAGCGCTCAACCGCTGCGCCACCGGGGAGGCCCACTGATATATTTTTTTTTTTTTTTTTTATAGAGGCATGTTTTTATTTATTTATTTATTTGTTTGTTTTGTTTTTTGTTTATACATGCACTGGGTACAGTCAGAAGCGTGGGAGGGTGAGAGAATTCACCAGAGCCAGAGCGGGGAGCAGAGCAGGCAGAAGGACCGAAGTACACTGCTGAGGGGAGCAGCGGGCGGCAGGAGAGGTCTGCGCGCCATGTGGGACCCTCCTCCGGTGGCCGGGGAGCAGCCGGGGATCGAACCGGCGCTGCAGAGGCCGCGGGCAGCTTCGCAACCCAGCGCTCAACCGCTGCGCCACCGGGGAGGCCCCCACTGATATATTTTTAATTAAAATTGTATATATTAGTGAATATATTAGTTAATGCATATAATCATGACTTGCTATGTATATAGTGATTTCTATAGTCAAGCTAATAAATATACCTCTCATAGTTACCCTTTTTTAAAAGATTTATTTATTTATGCATACAAGAACTGGGGTACAGGCCAGAGGTGTGGGGGTGGTGAGGATTCACCAGAGACAGAGTAGGGAACAGAACAGGCAGACTGACTGAAATACACAGGCAGATTAACTAAAATACACTGCTGAGGGGAGCAGTGGGCAAGTTGGGAGAGGTCTGCTGCACCATGTGGCTATCTCCCTGGTGAGGGATCGAACTCATGCTGCAGTGGCTGCGGATAGCTTCATAGGTTGCGTCTTAACCCTTTGCGCCACCAGGGAGGCCTGGTTACCCTTTTTTTTTAATGTGATGAGAGCACCTGATGTGTTCTTTCTTAGCATTACATTATTACTAACTATAGTTCTCATACCTTTACATTGCCCATGAAGATCTTGAAGGGTAGTAACTAAATTCTTAACAGTGATTAACGATGAACAGTATTTGGATCTTTAATTTCATAGTAAGCATAAGCTTTGTATATTATGTAAAAATGTTATAGTTTGTTTTTTAAGGCCTTTGTAGTTCTGCTTTCAGTGCCTGTAAAGAATCAGTTTTCCATTTTTCTCATCTTTTTTTCCAGCTACTGAAGTGGTGACTGTGTTTGTATTTCAAGAACCATCACTTCTCTCCTCACTCCAGGATAATGGATTGACAGATGTCATGCTGCATGCCCTGCTTATCAAAGATGTGAGTGAGTCCTTTATGTTACTCTCTAAAGAATGCTCCATACATATCCCTCCCTGCAAAATACAGACACATACAGAGATACTGTGGTTTTGGTTCCAGGCCACCACAATAAGGCAAATATTGCAATAAAGCATGTCACACAAGTTTTTTTTTTTATTTCCCAATCCATGTAAAAGTTACATCTACACTATGCTGTAGTTGATAGCAATAGCATTCTGTCTAAAAATAACAATGCTACCTACCTTATTTTAAAATACTTTATTGCTAAAAAATGTTTGCCATGATAGCCTTTAGTAGGTTTTTTTTGTTTTTTTTTTTTTTTGCTGGTGAAGGGTCTTAAAAAAATTACTTGTGAAGCACAATAGATGGGGTATACTTTGTGCACATGTAATCATCTAAAGCAATTTTATGGCACAAAAATTCTCTTTCTCATCATCTGTATATAGTATTGAAACTTATTGGGACCTGGTCATCAAGATCCTTTCTATTCTTGGCCAGTTTCCTAGCATCTACAACTGAACTCTTTTAGATGATTTTAAGTTCATTTTTTCTCTAGGTTCCTGCTACTCGTGAAGTCCTTGGCTCCCTCCCAAATGTATTCAGTGCACTCTGTTTGAATGCACGAGGTCTTCAGTCATTTGTCCAATGTCAGCCATTTGAACGTCTCTTCAAAGTTCTTCTGTCTCCAGATTACCTCCCAGCCATGCGGAGGAGGAGAAGCTCTGATCCCCTTGGTAGGTCTCCAAGCTTTATCTTACAATAAATAATCAGTTTGCTGCTGTGCCAAGAAATTATATGATTGCCAAGCCAACAATTGGCAAGGAAACCCTTTCTTGATGTCATTATTTCTCTGGCTGGATGTACTACTTAATTGTATTACAGGCAGAAAGGAATACTTAATCTTTAACCTTTACTCATAATATTTCCATGCTTCTCAACGGTTCATTGTTAATGCACTGTCATGGTACTGAAGAGAAATTTGTATTTGAGAACAGCTGGTTGCCAGGTTCACCATCTAATCTGTAGCAATAGGAGATATGGATGCCTGAATTGTTGATTCTGGCAGTCTTCTGTCCAAACATGAGTCTCTATGATCGTTGTGAAATGGCAAGAAGGTTGGGCTCCAGAAAAAAATCCAGTTTTCAAGAATGTGTTTCCTCCTTTCAGCCACTACAGTACATTATAGTAACCACTATCATTCTTTATCAGGGCAGCCAGAGGGTTGCTATCTTCTGCTTCTTTCTCTCCACTCTACAATACTACTTCAGACTTCGATGATAAGATTGCCAGGCTAAAATGTAGCACACATAGTCAGGTACTTCTAAATGTTTATTGGACTGAGTTTCCTTTCTCGTCCCCAGTGATTTGGGTATTGGAGGTTGGTGTGAATTCATCAGAAAATCACAATAGCCAGCTCAGTTTCTTCTTCCTTGCTTATGATGACACAAAATAGCTCAAGCTCTATCTTAAGTCTTTCTAACAGATAATTTTTTGTTTGTTTGTTTAAGGCGATACTGCATCCAACCTGGGGAGTGCTGTGGATGAGCTCATGAGACATCAGCCCACCCTCAAAACAGATGCAACAACTGCAATTATCAAGGTAGGAAATGATAAGACTGTGACAGTGGGCATGAGAGAGCAGTGAAGGGCACTTAATGAAAGGCTTGACTTGCGGAGGGTCATTTAGATTTTTGGACTATATTTGAAAGATTACCTGCCTCATTTTACCATATCCTTGTATTAGTCCTTTGCCTATTCCTTATACTCAACCCCTCCCTCCAATGGTCACTTTAAGTATTGCTGTCTTGCAGAGGATATTAACAATTGCTGCGGCTTAGCCTCTATAAAAATCTATTATCCTTTGGGTAAATACCTAGGAGTGGAATTGCTGGATCATATGGAAGCTCTATGTTTAGTAGGCCCAGAAATCTCCATACAGCTCTCCATAGTGGTTGGACCAGTTTGCACTCCCACCAACAGTGCAGGAGAGTTCCTTTTTCTCCACACCCTCGCCAACATTTGTTGTTGCTAGTTTTTTTAATATGTGCCATTCTCACTGGTGTAAGATGGTATCTCATGGTAGTTTTGATTTGCATTTCCCTGATGACAAGTGATGTTGAACATTTTTTCATATGCCTGTTGGCCATTCGCATTTCCTCTTCAGAGAAGTTTCTTTTTAGCTCTTCTGCCCATTTTTTGACTGGTATTTACCCAAAGGACACAGAAACATCAATTCCAAAGAGCACCTGCACCCCTATGTTTATAGCAGCACTGTTTACAATAGCTAAGCTTTGGAAACAGCCCAAATGCCCAAAAATAGATGACTGGATCAAGAAGATGTGGTACATATATACCATGGAATATTACTCAGCATTCAAAAAAAGATAAACACATGCAATTTGCAGCAACATGGATGGCGCTGGAAGGGATCATGCTCAGCGAAATAAGCCAAAAAGAAAAAGAAAAATACCGGATGGTCTCACTCATAGCAGGAATCTAGAAAACTTAAATAAGGGACCAGGAAAATGAATAACTATAAGAAAGTGAAAATCAAAATCAAGAAAAAACTATGAACCAGAGACACTTTTTGGGGGGCGGGGGTGGGAGGGGAGGGATTGGGGTCAGAATGGGGGGGCTGCAATTGTATGGGGAATATAAAAATAAAATTTATAAAAAAAAAAAAAAAAAAATAAAATTTATTATTTAAAAAAAATCTATTATCCTTCATGATCATTTTTTCTTGTATTTCCCCCACATTTACTGGCTCTGCCTAGTAGGATTCTTGAAACTAGTAAATGGGTTCCTGTTACTTGGTGAATTTGGATATGGAGTCTGCTCAGTCAGTAACTTAACCATGTGACCCTGAACAATTTATTTAACTTGAAAAAATTTAAGTTCCTTTGTTTGTGAAACAGGATTAATGACTACGTACCAGGGATAGTATATATTACGCATATATACAGATTTTTTGCATTTATGCATATAGTACATAGAAAATGCTTCCAAAATGTTAGTCATACCCCATTCCTTAATTACTAATAAGTAATCCTATTTCCTGTGCTTTTCAGTTACTTGAAGAAATTTGTAATCTTGGAAGAGATCCTAAGTACATCTGTCAGAAGCCATCAATCCAGAAGGCAGATGGCACTGCCGCGGCTCCTCCCCCAAGGTCTAATCATGCTGCAGAAGAAGCCTCTAGTGAGGATGAGGAGGAAGAAGAGGTACAGGCCATGCAGAGCTTTAATTCTACCCAGCAAAATGAAACCGAGTCTAATCAGCAGTAAGTGTTTGAAAAACAGGATCTTGAGCCTTGTGATCTTGGGCATGTCATTTTTCATCTCTAAAAGTAAGGGAATTGGATCATTACAAGGTTCTTCAGGCTCTAAGAGTCTAATAGTTTTTCTCTCTTTGACCCTTGGTGTTATTTGTGCTTTGGTGTTTAATTGTATCTGTTACAATACAAAGCAAGCTGCGGTTCTTGAAAGTCATTCATGAAATTGAATCAATTCAGTATATTGAATTGATGGGCTTTTCTTAGAGGACTTAATCTGCTTTGTTGATTTGGTATTCCACATTAGTGACTGATTGTTTCCATAAGTGAGCACATATGAAACACATTATACTTGTCTCCAAAGAAATTCTTGAGAGTTATGGGGATTTGTTGTTGGTTAGTCTTTGATTGCTATCTATTCATTCCAGAAAAGTCAGAAAACTTTGGCATGTACTATATGATTGCAACCAGACACAGTGGATTTTCCTTCTTATTTCTAATAATTTGAAATTTGTTCTGCATAAAAGTGACTATCTGGATGATAAATAAGGTAGGGGTGAGGATGAGCCAGCTTAAAGACTGCTGACTGGTGGTGGATAGTCACTGGGCTCTTGGAACTTACAGTGTACATATGCGAGGGATGAAATGTAACTGTCGTGGCTATGACTCTTAATTGGCTATAACTCTTTTACCTTCATGGTAAAAGTGGGTATAATCCCTCTGGACTGTCGTGTATTCACTCATTCAGTAAGTGTTCTTTTGGTAATTTTGAGAAAATCATGAGCATTTTAAGTGTGGCTATGTATGGACTTGAGCCTATCTTGAAGAGTAGCTTGGAACTTAAGAAAAGACTGGCGTAGATAGCAGGAGTAAAGACCTAAACACAAAAACTGATAATACCCTCTTAGAACTGTGGAAAGTAAAGAATTTAGGTTTTTTTTTAGAGACACTAACTGCTAAGTTCATTACTTTATTGAGCAATTATCTTACTTTTGTCAGAGAAGGTAACCTTACTTTGTTGCATCATCTCCTCTTTTGATTAAAAATGTTCTTTTTTGGAAGAGGGGAACATCTTGAAAGAAAACAGAATTTTATTTTCGAAGGAGTCAGAATCTTACTACTTCCTTGCCATACCCTTGACTGTCAGCCACCCTGCTGGGATAGGGTTCCCTTTCTTGACTACAAAACAAGCGAAAGATTTCTTAAATGTGAGTGGTGGCAGTGGTGGTGTTGGTTTTGAGTCAAGATGTGTATATTCATCTGTGTATAACTTCTTCTCTGGACGTCTTACAGACATTTTAGATTTAACATGCCCAGTTGCAAGCTATCATAGGAAGTTGTCATTTTTCTCATCCTTGTTTTTTCTTCATTATTCATGATTTTCTTGAGATATCCTAGGTCTCTGCTTTCTATCCATATTTATCCCCCACCCACAAATTATCTTTATTTTTCCATTTACTGAATTCCTGCAAGGCCAAATCAAATATCTCTTTTTTTTGAGTTTTTCATTTTTACCTACAAATGGAAAGTTGATATTTTGTTTTCTCCCAACAGGTTTGTTAAAATTATTCATATACAGTTGACCCTTAAACAATGTGTGGAGTTAGGGGCACTACCCTACCCTTGCACAAAGATCTTTGTATAACTTTTGAGTCCCCAAAAACTTTAACTGTATTCGTTACTCAGTATCTGCAGGGGGTTGGTTTCAGGACACCACCACCCCACCCTCCGTGGACACCAAAGTCCATGGCTCAAGTTCCTTGTACTCATCCCTCTGTATTGATGGATTCAGCCAACTGACCCACAGATATGGACAGCCAACTCTTAACTGGAAAAAACCCATATTCAAGGATCAGCTGTATTTTTTTTTAATAATAAATTTTATTTTTATATTCCCCATACAATTGCAACCCCCCCATTCTGACCCCAATCCTTCCCCTCCCGCCCCCACCCCCCAAAAAGTGTCTCTGTTTCATAGTTTTTTGTTGATTTTGATTTTCACTTTCTTGTAGTTATTCATTTTCCTGGTCCCTTATTTAAGTTTTCTAGATTCCTGCTATGAGTGAGACCATCCGGTATTTTTCTTTTTCTTTCTGGCTTATTTCGCTGAGCATGATCCCTTCCAGCGCCAAGGGATCAGCTGTATTTCAATAGTGTCTCCCACTAATGCACATGCTTCTCCAGGGCATGGAGAATGCCTTATTCAACAATGTACCCTAGTCACTTTGTGTATAGTAGGTAATCAATAAATGTTTATTTAGTAGGTTGATGGAATGAATCACTTACATTAGACTACAGGTTTCATGAGTCTTAAGGGCCAGGAGAGCTGGATCTGATGAAACATGAATAATAATGAAGAGAGTGTGAAAATCTAGACCATAGTGTTAAACATATGTATCTTCTAAACAGCTAAGGACTCTAGTAGTTGTTGTTCCATGAAATCAGTGTTTTTCTATACTTTGCATGGTCTGTTCATCAGTGCCTTGTTCATATAACACTGCCACATTCAGAAATCTCAATTCGATAACTGGATTATTAGGTCTAGAAAGAAAAGCAAGAGACTATCTCCATTTTGAAAGCCATAATACATTCAGGGGAAAGTTTCCTTTATCTCAAACAGTTACGTTGGGAGTTGCTGCACACTTTCTGTTGTTATGAGAAGAGGCTTAAAAAAATTTGCAGTGTTTGCTACCCCTCACCCCAAAGTGTTGTTCATATCTCCCTTCCCAGTGCAAATTCCCAAATTCCTGTCTCTTGTGCCCTTACCCTACTTTCCAATGCTTTAACTACACACAAGTATATTTTCCCAATGTTTTTATTGAAATAGTTTCTATACAGTAAACTGCAGATTTTAAGCTTGCCATTACCCCACCCTAAAATGACAGTTACTTGTCTATATATATCTATCATTGAATAAGTCTGCCTAGCCTAGGATATCATATTAACAGAATAGTTACATGTGTTATCATATCTGACCTATGTACTTTGTTATAGCTGGCTTCTGTTGTTCAGCATGCAGTTGCAATGCATTCAGGTTTGTTGCGTTTGTCAAATTGTCATTTTTTCGTTGCTGAGTAGCAGTCCATTGTATGAATATACATTCTCTTGTTGGTAGACTTTTGAGTTTCCAGAATTTTTTTCCAACTTAAGACAGTGCTCTTTTCCCTTGGTTTCTCCCCTCCTCTACCACTCCCCCCAACATCAATAGCTAGTACTTGAAAATGGCATTTGAATTTGATTTGAGATACATGGTTTTATGCCAGAGATCGGGAATAAGGAAACTTGGACACTACAGTTTACCCTACCATACATTGAGCTCTGTTCTACATTGAGAGATGTTTACCACAAGCAATTCTTAATACCTATCTTTTGACCACTTTCTTCTGCCTTCTAAATTGTTTGGTCTCAGCAAAACTGATATTACTGGGAATGAATATTCTTGCCATTAAGTAACCAGGGTTTTTAGTTGGGGCACCATGCCTTATTTTGTGGTCAGTTCCATTTACTTTGCCTAGTTTAACAACCTATCCTGAACTATGTAGATCCATGTGGTCTTTGGGACTTCAATAACTATCTGGACATAGAGGGCAGGGCAGCATTTGTACCCCAAATTGTGGCCCAAAGGTAACTGCCTCTCCTCAAGAGCTAGAAGGAATCTGACCAGCCCCCTCCCCCCCGCCCAATAAAAAGACAAAATCCCCATGAAATCTGTTGTCCCTGTGTACTGTATATGAATCTCATTGAAATCATCCTTTTCTTCTGGTCAAGGGCTCCTCCAGCACAAATGCAGATGTAAAGCTGATCCAGAGTAAAAATGAGTTTGGGAATAGTTGTATATTTTGGAGAAGGTGAAGAGGCAACACGTTTTTTTGGCAAAGTAAATGGTTTCATTCATTATGGGAATGTAATCTTTCATTGTTTCAAAGATGGTATGTGTCAGTTTCATGTAAGGTTATGATTAGAATTGACTTATTAAAATCAGTTGGTAGGGGTAGTTCTACTAGAGAGAGAGAGAGTTGATCATTTTTACTCTTGTGTATGGCATCCTGGAAGTAAAAAAAAAAAAATGAGTGTAGGGAGTAAAGTGGTTACTGAACAAGTTTGTTCCTGGAGTTTGATTACGAGCTACTGTTGAATGTTTTCTGTTTTGTTCTCCCTCTCAACTTCCATGTAGCAAATGAAGGAAGTACCTGAGCCCCATTTGATGATGCAACTTTGGCTATTTGCCATCTTATTTGGCGTGTGCAAAGGGAAAATATTCTCATTGGGGTAGAGCCACACCTGCACTCTAGCTGCAGAGTGGATTTTTGGATTCTTTTCAAGGAGATACAACCAAATTTAGGGTAGATAATTGCTGGAAGTATCAAATGCTGCAGAGGTTCTGAGGAATAATTTTGGCAGTCAAAGAAAGGCTTGTGATCTTACATGAAATCATTTCACTTCAGACTTTGTCTTCCCTTTATACAAAGATCTTCCCCAAATTTTTCAGTACGTATATTCACTGCATCCTATCCAAATCCAGGCACTGGATCTTTCATCATGGAGCCATTCATGTCCTTTCCACTTTCTTTGCCTGGTGTACACTTTGGTGTCAAATGCTTTCTCGCTTATCAAACCCATATTCACATTTTGTCTTGCTTAGAGATCGGAACTATTTGTTTCTTGCCAACTTTTTTGCCTTCTCTCTCCCCTTAGATATGTACAGATGTTGAGTTTGTAAAGGCTTGGCTTTTCCTTTTGTCCTCTCAATCAGCTAGCTTGAGAATTCAGCTCTTTTTTGTTCTGTGCTATATATTAAAGGCTATAAATCTAACTTAGAAAAAGGCCTAGAATTTCATACTGTAGCCCTTTTCCTAACTTTGTTCTCTTGCACTGGTATTGTGAATTTCTGTGTAACTCACTCTTTTCTCCCTTAACAGGGTTGTTGGTACAGAGGAACGTATTCCTATACCCCTCATGGATTACATCCTTAATGTGGTAAGATTTATATAGGGCAAACTGAGTGAAGGTGTGTGATTTTCTGGAAAATGTGTGGGATTACCAAATAGTTCAGTGAAAATTTCTGTGTTTATTTTCACTGGGGCCCTTAAAGTGTAGAGTAGTTGTTAAAGATGGGCAAACCTTGTTCTGTGAGACTGGTTGCCAGAAATTAGCCAACACTCTCCCTTTTTTGGATATTCCCAACTTTCTGTTGTTCCTTTTCCCTTTTGGAATCCAAATAGGAGGAGAGTGGGCTTTGTTACATCAATCCAGTATTAATGTTCTTAGAATGTCTCCAACATACTTTTTTTCTTCTTCTTTTCCCTATTGACTTCTCTTTTATTTAAAATAAAAAATTAACGTGGTCTATTCTTTTAACTTCTATGTGTCTCACAGGAAAAAGCAAAGAGTTTGAATTTTCCCAGAAGTGTTTCCCTATAAGGAAAAGCCCATTTACCATTTGTGCTAGCCCACTGAGCATTTCCAAGACTTCCAGAGATGGTTTCTCTTGTGCCTATGCGTTTATTGCCCATATTTTGCTTTCTTACTCTTGCAAAAAGCTTTTTGGTCTGAATCATTCTTCTAGAGTTCTAAGTTTTCGTTTGCAGTATTAACACATTTGAGGGAAAATATCCATGATATTTGCTTCCAGGAGAAAAGCAACACATTATCATGCAAAGAGCACTGAATGAGAAGATTAGACCTGATTCTTCCCCTAATTCATGATGTGGCCCTGAACGGGTCATTTGACTGCTCGCTATATGACTAGGTGTGGTTGAAAAGACACTTGGATTGGGGAAGAAGTTGAAATAATACTTTATTTTCTAGGTGATTGCCTGAGGTTTATTGTAATCTAGAAAAGACTTGATTTCATTTCTACAAGGCCTACCCCTGTCCTTACTCCAAGCAGGTCTTTTACTTCCAAGTGTCAGGCTCTAACATTTTTTCTAAAATTTTCATTACCTAGATGAAATTTGTGGAATCTATTCTGAGCAACAATACAACAGATGACCACTGCCAGGAATTTGTGAATCAAAAAGGACTCTTGCCTTTGGTTACCATTTTGGGTCTTCCCAATCTGCCCATTGACTTTCCCACATCTGCAGCCTGTCAGGCTGTTGCAGGTGTCTGCAAATCCATATTGGTAAGAAGCATTTGGCCAAATATTTTCATTTCCTTTTAGAAGCAGTTTTGCTATACCTCTGTATACATGTTTTTTACTGTGGTCTCCCCTTCAACTAAAAAATAATGGAATTTGTGGTTATGTACAAGTAAAAATTATGATTAATAGTATGTCACTTTATTTCTTGTTGAAAAGTTAAAGTGTTCTTTGTTCCTGGGTTTTGATACATAGTTCTAATAACCTCATTTGACTTCATTGGAAGGGAAAGTATATATATCTAGGAATACTTTGGAGCTGGGTTATATTAGGGTATCATCCTTTGTCATGGATGCTTAACACATCTGATATTGTTTAGCCATGGTTTCCTTTTTCCTTTCACAGGGTTCAATAGTCGTGTATTTTAAACATAATTGACCTGTAGTTTGTTGCTCATATTTTGCCAAAAAATGAATCTCCTTTATTTTAAATGGTGAAATACAAATAAACATAAAATTTACCATCTCTAAACACTTAAGTAGTGGTAAAAATTATTCACATTGTTTCACAGTCTATCTCCAGAACTTTTTTCATCTTGCAGAAACTGAGATTTTATTTTATTTTGTTTTTTAAGAGCAAATTTTTTTTTAAGATTTATTTATTTATACAAAAACTGGGGTACAGGCCAGAGGCGCGGGAGTGTGAGAGAGGATTCACCAGAGACAGAGCCGAGAGCAGAACAGGCAGACTGACTGAAATACACTGCTGAGGGGAACAGCAGGTGAGACAGGAGAGGTCTGCTGCGCCATGTGGGTATGTTCCCTGCTGGCCAGGATTGAACCGGTGCTGCAAAGGCTGCGGACAGCTTCACAGTGCTGCGCTCAACCTGCTGCGCCACCAGGGAGGCCCCAGAAACTGAGATTTTATACCCATTAAACAGCTCTTCATTCCCCTTTCCCTCATAGGCCGTGGGAGCCATTATTCTGCTCTCTTGTGTCTATGAATTTGACTGTTCTTTTCTAAGCACAGTTTATACAGTGTCTGTCTTTTTGTGACAGGTTTATTCTGCTTAGCATAATGTCCTCAAAGTTCATCCGTTGTGTAACTTATGTCAGAACTTCCTTTTTAAGGCTGAACAATACTTCAGCGTATGTATACACTACTGTTTGTTTATTCATTCATCAATGGATATTTGGATTGATTCCACCTCTTGATTATGAGTAGTGCTACTGTGAATGTGGGTGTGCAAATATTTCTAGGACTGTGTGTGTATGTGTGTGTTAAGAACACTAAGTATCTGTGAATTTGACTTTATATTCCATATATAAGTGAGATCAGACTCAAAACCCTGATTTTAGTTCTTTTGATTATGTACCCAGAAGATAGATTGCTGAGTCATACCATATGGTAGTTCTATTTTAATTTTTTTTTTTTTTGAGGAACCACCATACTATTTTCCATAGCAGCTGCACCATTTCATGTTCCAACCAGCAGTACACAGGATTGTTATTTTCTAGGTTTTTGTATGTATTTTTATTTTTAGATATGTATATATAGTAGTCATTCTAAGGTTATGGCATGAGATCATGTGGTTTTGATTTTTATCTCCCTAATGATTAGTAATGTGGAGCATCATTTCCTGTGCTAATTGTTTATGTTTATATCTTTGGAGAAATGTCTGTTCAAGTCTTGCCCATTTTTTTTTAAATGGGATTGTTTTTTGTTGATGAGTTTTAGGCATTCTCTATATGTTCAGAATATTAATTCCTTATCAGATACATGAATTAGAAATATCTTCTCCCCTCCATGGGTTGCCTTTTCATTATGTTGATGATGTTCTTTGATGTGCAAAATTTTTTAACCAGTGTTATGCATTGCAATGTGGTTTCTTCTACAGGTTTTATATAATTTCAGCTTTTGTGTTTAGATCTGTGATTCATTTTGAATGAAATTTTTTGTGGTGTAAAGTAAGCTTTGTTCTTTTGGATGTAAATATCCAGTCCAGCTTTCCCAACACTATTTGTTGAAAAGACTGTTGTTTCCCTATTGCACCCTTGTCTTGGCACCCTTGTCAAAAATCATTTGACAATATATGCCAAGGTTAATTTCAGGTGCTTTCTATTGTAGTCCATTGATCTTGATGTCTGTCTTTATGCTAGTACCACACTTTTGATTACTGTAGTTTTGTGGTAAGTTTGGAAATCAGGAAGTGAAAGATCTCTTTTTCAAGATAGTTATATCTATGGGGGGGGTTACTTTGAGGTTCTAGATGAATTTTAAGAGGGATTTTTGTATTTCTACAGGAAACTACCAGTGAGATTTTTATAGGAATTGCTTTAAACCTATGAAGTTCTTTATTGGCTGAGTTGTGCAGTGATAACTAATTTCTGCTGATGATCAAAAATCCAGTTGCTTATAGACTTGGGAGTCTCCCTAAGATTGTGACATGTCTACATTTATTTAATGTTTTATTTTGCTTTACCCTTTGCAGCTATTTAATTAATCATTCTCTGTAAGAAAGAGGGAGGAAAGGGCTGCTCCATCTTAATCCTACCTATAAGATACTGTGTAAGGATGGGTATTTATTTAAAAACATAGGAAGGCATATAAGTTCTTGTATCTTTGAATGACAAAAGCTAGTGTTTCACTGTCATATTTTTCTCCAGACCCAAAAGGAATTATGAAGTCTGTTGTCTCATAAAAAGAAATTGCCTCACTGATGCCTATCATAGAATCATCTTTCTTAATTGTGGGAAGAAAACATTTGGAATAGTGGTTCACGCTCATCCTTTGGAAACTTTCCTAACATTTCTCCCTGTTGAGCAAAATCTGGAACTAATCTTAGAATGTGCAGCCCTTGCTATAACAGTATTCCAGTGTGACCATCACAAGCTTTTAAATATGATTTGCTCACCACATTTGAAAACCTCATTTGAGGAAATAATATGTTACTCTAGATGTTGGTGTTACGGTATGTCATATGTGTTTTCATGTTTTGCTTCACCATTTACCAGGTGAGAGGCCATGGCCAGTTCTGAAATTCAGGAGACTTATCTTCCACCTCTTCCATTGTGACTATTAAAAATGTGATGAATGTGAAGTTCATTATACATTAATGCATTAATTATTATTCTTGTTTCAGACACTGTCACATGAACCCAAAGTCCTTCAGGAGGGCCTCCTTCAACTGGACTCCATCCTCTCCTCCTTAGAGCCCTTACACCGCCCAATTGAATCACCTGGGGGCTCAGTGTTGTTGAGAGAACTGGCTTGTGCTGGGAATGTTGCTGATGCTACTCTCTCAGCTCAGGCCACACCTCTTCTGCATGCGCTCACTGCTGCCCATGCCTACATCATGATGTTTGTTCATACTTGCAGAGTTGGACAGGTAAGAATTTTCTTAGGGGTGCACGTATTGGTTTAAAGCGATTGATGTTGATAGTTCACAGGTGAATGGGTGGTGGGAATATCACGGGGACTATAACCGAGATGAAAATGCATACATACATACATACGTTGTACAAAAATGAAATATGATGAAAAAAATATATAAAATAAAATAATAATTTTAAAAAAGCAATTGAAACACCTGGGGCATATACCTGGTAGCTAGCTTACTGTGCTTAGAAGCATTTCTACCTGGGCTAGTCACTGAAAGAATGGGTTTTGGATGAGGTTTTTTTGCAATGTCTGCTGTCTTGGTGGGTGACTTAGGGTATGTGCTTCAAGTTACAATCTAGTTTCATTTTCTCTTTTTTTTTTCATTAATAGCTGGGTGACCATATAATTTGTTTCATAATTTGAACCTTCTTGAGGGTGAAAGAGAAGTTGTTGTAAATAATAGACATTGCTAGATCTGTGCAGGCCAACTGGGATGCATAGTCACCCTTTTTAGAAAGCAAGCCTCCAGTGGATGCTCCTCTGGCCTTATTATTTCCTAATATTTGTACAAATACAAGTATACATCATAAAAGGATGACAAGAAGGAAATTTGAGCACAGAACTTATGTCCCTGATAATTGAGAGAGATTATTAAAGATAAAGTGTCAAACCCTGTGCCTGGAGTCCAGTCTTCTTGTGGTTCCAGAACAACATATTTTCTATGTGTACTTACAGTTTTTACTACCTTTCGTTCTCAGTTAATCAATTCTAATGATTAATGGGATAACATTTTAGCAGCCTTGTTTTATGGTGGTAAGCAGAGTGCATTCTTCATATCAAAATAAATGAGAAGCAGGGCCTTCCTGCTGGCACAAGGGATTAAGATGCAACCTATGAAGCTATTTGCAGCCACTGCAGCAGAAGTTCGATCTCTGGCCTGGGAGCTACCCACATGGCACAGCAGACCTCTTCTGACTCGTCCACTGCTCCCCTCAGCAGTGTATTTCAGTCAGTCTGCCTGTTCTGTTCCCCACTCTGTCTCTGGTGAATCCCCTCACCACCCACACCTCTGGTCTGTACCCCAGTTCTTGTATGCATGAATAAATAAATCTTAAAAAATAAATAAATGAAAAGCAGTTATAAGCTGTCCACATAACTAAGCTTAGGATTTATTTTGTATTCGTATTAAAAGAAATAAAATTAAAATTAAATATTCAACTCAAGAAATTAATTAAATATTTATTGAAGTAAAAAAATAAAAGAAATAACAAGCCCTCCGCCACCTAAAAAAAAATTACAAAGCTGCCAATAAATGTACAAAGCTATTTCTTTGATGTAGATAAATAGCATTGTCTAGGACTTCTGTCATGATTTTACTTTACAGAAATCACTGAGAAGGGATGTTAGAGACAGATTGTAAATATTGTAAGGGAATACCTTGTGAAACAGATCTTAAATACGGAGATTGTAATGTAGACAGCTCTTTGAGAATAACAAGGGAAAAGTAGAATTCCTCATCTCTCTGACACAGCTAAAATTTGATTTTGAGAATAATTGTTCAGAGAGCATCCCAAAGATTAGCTTCTTGAACTTTGTTTGCAGAGTGAAATTCGTTCCATCTCCGTAAACCAATGGGGCTCTCAGTTGGGTCTGAGTGTTCTGAGCAAGCTGAGCCAGTTATACTGCTCTCTGGTGTGGGAAAGCACTGTCCTCCTCTCACTGTGTACCCCAAACAGGTAAGTTCAGAATAGTCATCTCTTTTTTAAATTTTATTATCTTTCCTGACAAACTTGGCTCAGTGAGCCTAGAGGGTTAATTTGGGTGAAGATAGGGTGGAAGGGGATCACAGTATAGTAAAGAGTTCAGAGGCTACCTTGTCTGTCTTGGTGGTTCATTTGGTTTGCAATAACGAAATACCACTATACTGAGTCCTTTTCAATAGAGATTTATTGGTCACCATTCTAAAAGCGGGACACCTGAAATCATGCTGCCAGCATGGTTGGGGGGTGGGCCCTCTTCTAAATCTTGAGATTTTTCATTGTACCCTCACATTGTGGAAGGGACTTGAACCTCTCTGGAGCCTCTTTTGTAAGACAGTAGTCCCATTCATAAAGGTTCCTTACCTACTAATGTCATTACATCAGGCATTAGAATTTTAACATAGCAGTTTTGAGGGGACATAAACATTTGTTTAGTGCATAGCATTGTCCTTCCTACTTACCATAAACCTTAGGACTTGCTTAACAGTGTGTTCATCTTGTGGAATCTTTGATCCTGATAGCCCAGTTATGCTGCCAGCATGGTAGGTATTCAAAATTTGGTCCTGTCGTTAGCCAGATTTTAAAGAGGTGAGTTGGAAACTTTTAATTGAGTGCTATTTAGAAAATAACTAAGGAAATTTATCATTGCATGTATTTTATTAAGTTAATTTACCTGCAATAGAAGAGATATATTGACCAAGCAAATTAGAAACTAAGCACAACATAAGAGATGAGCAATCAAGGTACACTGTTTCTCTTATTGCAGCCTACCTTCTGGATGTGAATTTGGCCAGGCGGACATGCAGAAACTGGTTCCAAAGGATGAGAAGGCAGGTACGACCCAGGGCGGAAAAAGATCAGGTAACTCTTAAGAAACTAAAATCTTAGTCATTAATTCTCTAAAGTTCTATCTCCATGTCTTCAGGGGTCTGTTGTGAAAAATTTAGTGCCCTCTATAATGTATAGTCCTCTATTTTTTTCCTCCCATTGGTTTTTATTATTTTAATTTAGGTAACATTGGTTTACATTACAAAAATACCCATAGTCCTCCACTATAGTCCATTATGCTGCCTCTCCACTTTGTTCTCTTCCCCTCCCTCTCTCCCCGCTGGTGCCTCAGTTCTACAGTCAGATTCTAGTATTTGTTACTGGTTTGACTTTATTTCATCCTTTGTTTTATTTCTCTGTATTCCACATCTAAGTGACACCATCCACTATTTTTCTTTCTTCTTCTGACTTACTTTGCTTAGCATAATCTGCTGTAGTAGCATCTGTGTTGTCACAAATGGAAAGTTCATTTTTTTTTTTTTTTAGCTGGGTAGTGTTCTAGATCCAGTGTTTTTAGGCACTTAGGTTGTTTACATAGCTTGGCTATTGCTGTGACATAATGCTACAGTGAACTTAGGAGTTCATATATCCCTTCAAATTTGTGGTTTTGATTTTTTAAAAATTAAGCTAATTTTAGACCTTTTCTCTGAAAAATACATGCACACAATGACAAAAACTAGGAAATGCAGTAGAAAGAAAAGTTACCTATATTTGTACTATAACAGATGGTGTTTTGGAAGTTATCTGCCTACCTAATCTTTTCCCCTAATGATACAATTTATTGGCTTAGTTGTGATTATCCCAGGTGTATCTTATAGATCTCTTTTCACTTATTAACACTAAGTGCCATATAAAGGGACCATGAATTAACCATTCCCTGTTAACATTTCTAATTTACTATTTGTACTATAATTTTGGTGATAACATAATAGATGTTGATTTATAATGAGCTTCAGAAATGATTTCTAAAAACAAGGGTGGTGGGAATTGTATGGGGACTATAACCAAGATGAAAATGAATGCATTTTTTTTAAGATTGATTTATTTATGGGGTACAAGCCAGAGGTGTAGGGGGGGGATTCACCAGAGACAGAGTGGGGGACAGAACAGGCGGGTTGACTGAAATACACTGCTAAGAGGAGCAGCGGGCAAAGCAGGAGAGCTCTGCCTCACCATGTGGGTTTCTCCCTGGCCGGCCGGGGATCGAACTTGTGCTGCAGAGGCTGCAGATTGCTTCATAGTGTGGTGCTTAACCCTTTGCACCACCAGGGAGGCCCGAAAATGCATACTTTGTACAAAAATGAAAATGATGTAAAAAATATATAAAATTAAAAAACAAAAAATAAAAAAAAGGATTCCTAGAAGTTTAGTCTTTAGATGTTGATTTATAATGCTGTATACCTAATACCTATGTAATGCTATAAACTGATAAAAACATTTATAATAATAGAAAAAAGGAAAATGGACATTTTTGTGTGTGATTTTATACAAATTTAAGATTCCTAGGAATTACTGTATCAAAGGGTATGGTGGCATTCTAATTTTTTATATGCTAATTTTTCAGAGACTCTGTTTCATAGGTTAAAAGTTAAAATGGTAAATGTTTAAAGTATCTTTAGAACCACACTGCCCAGTGTGATGGTTACAAGACGTTAGCAATTGTTGAATACTTGAAATGTAACTAGTACAATTAAAAAACTGCATTTTCAGTTATAATTAATTTGTAACAATCATTACTCTCAGTTTTTGGAAGATTTTTAAATATGTTTGGAGCAGCATACATTAATTATATTAATGAATACTCAGTGTCCGAATTGAGATGTGCTGTAAGTATAAATGGTACCTTTTTTAATAGTATAAAGATGTAAAATCTCAATTTTATTTTGAGTACATGCTAAAATAACATATTTGACTATATTGAGTTAAACAGCATAGTATTAAAAATATACACCTTTAAATGTGGCTACTGGAAAATTTTAAATTATACATGTGGCTCACATCATACGTCTATTGGACTGGGTTTTTTTTTTTTAGAAAATAGCTCTAATATTGCAGTTAAAGTTCCAAATTAAAATAAGCAATTTTCTGATTCTAATACAACAATCCTAAAAATAATAAAAGCAACTTTAAAAAAAATGCTTATTTATGCATACAAGAACTGGGGTACAGGCCAGAGATGTGGGAAGGTGAGAGGATTTACCAGAGACAGAATGGGGAGCAGAACGGTCAGGTTGACTGAAAACACTGCTGTGGGGAGCAGCGGGTGAGTCATGAGAGGTCTGCTGCGCCATGTGGGTTGCTCCCTGGCCGGCCAGGGATCGAGCTCGTGCTGCAGAGGCTTCTGGATAACTTCATAGTGCTGGGCTTAACCCCCTGCGCCACCAGGGAGGCCCAATAAAAGCAACTTTTGCACAACGTTTTTTTCTCTCTGCATCTGGGAGAAAATTGTAAATTGTACTATGTTGCCAAAAACAGAGAAACTGAAAATGGACTTTCTGTGTAGTTTTTCCAAAACATTAGAAAGAAAACTTGGTGATTTGTCTTATAAAGATTGCTAAAGCTCATTCTTAGAACTAAAAGCTCACAACCTACCATCCCAAAAAGACACACAGCTCACATTTATATTCAAAAATCTTTTTTTAAATTTTTATTGAGTTGATACTGGTTTGTAATAATTATTTATCTTTGGTGTGCATATAGCATTATAATTTGACATCTGTATATACTGCATTATGTTTGACACCAAAAGGCTAGTTCTCATCTTCCACCATATAGTTGACCCTTTTTCCTGATTTACCACACCCCCTTCTGGTAACCACAGTTTTGTTCTTATAGACTAAGAGCTTGTTTTTGTTTTGTTTGTTCATTTGTTTTCATATACAAATAAAATCATATAGTGTTTGTCTTTCTGTCTGACTCACTTCACTTAACATAATACTTACCCTCATGATCCATCCATGTTATCACGCATGGCAAGACTTCATGTTTATTTTTTATAGCCGTTGTTTGTCTTTATCACATCCATCTGGCATTTAGGTGGTTTCATTAATATACAAAATATTAAGTGCTGGGAAATACAGTTCTCCACTGATCCATAGATTTTTGGTGCCCAATTTAAGTTTATTAGCAAGCTATAAAATTCTTTTTTTATTTTCTTACATCATTGTTCATTTTTATATATTAATTGACTTCTCCCCTCAAGTGTAGTCACCATAGTTCTCCTGCCACCATATCACCCATAAACCATCACCACATTCCCTTGTGTTCTTCCCTCCCCTGTTTTGACTCCCCCTTCCTTGCTGTATGCTTTAATTCTATGGTAACACCTATAAAATTCTAATAGGGCATGTGCCTTAACACCATGGGGACACCGTGCACATTGTCGTCTATGTGAATGGTATCGTCATGCAGCACCAATAGTCTTCCAAGGTAGATCTGAGTTAAGACTGTTCAGATGCTCTAATTGGAAGATTTGCTACTTAGAAGTGCTCCAAAGAGAGGAGCATATCAGTTCGGGAGTGAGGGGTGGGGGTGGGAATCTGTTTTTACAGATATTGTGGAATTTTTTGAAGAGTAACAGCACCATAGGTATCTCTTGGGACTCTTCAGAGCAAGGAACCAGGTCACTGTTAGTTCAGTATGGTCTTACTACTCCCCTCCTGTGTCTGCAGATGGGGAACAGGATGGAACAGCTGGAAGTATGGATGCTTCTACCCAGGGCTTGTTGGAAGGCATTGGGCTAGATGGTGATGCATTGGCTCCCATGGAGACAGACGAACCTACTGCTTCAGACTCTAAGGGCAAATCTAAAATCACACCTGCCATGGCTGCTAGAATCAAGCAAATCAAGCCTTTATTGTCAGGTGAGTAATTCTCTTCTTTCTCTAGTCCCTTTTCTGTCTTTCAGAGCCTTAACCAGTCCTCAGACATTTTGAGTTGGTAAAACTTTCTTTAAAGGAAATTGTAAATTTTGGTAACTCATTTTTAGATGTGATTTGAGTGCCTACTGTGTGACAGGGTTGGCCAAGAGATCGGAGAATTGCTTCCTAAAAGCCACATCTATCCCTCCATGTCTTTAATTCCTTTCCTCCTATCCACTCTTCAACTACTACAAATAAATGGTTTCTGCCCATGTTGTCTCACCCAAGATCTCTATAATCTCCTTGTTGCTAAGTCTACTGGATACTTTTTAGTCCCGTTCTCACTTGTTGGCATTATATCTGCTAACTCACCACTTCCTGCTAGAAATACTCATGGGTGGGGGTGTTGTTGTATTAAGCTATGCTGTTATTCTGTTACCTATCTGGCTACTCTACCCCATGTCCTTTTCCTTTCTGTCTCTTAAAAATAGTGTTATGGTTGATTTGTGTTTTAATATAGTCAATTTAGCAGCTCTGTGGAGACTTCATTGGTATGAGACAAGACCATATTAAAGGTGTGCACTCTTTTGTCTTTCCCATCTTTTGCCCTTTCATGTAATATCATTGTTTGGGGCACCTATTCTGTATATTACTTAATGTTTGCCACTCTCTGACACCTTGATGTAAGGACAGTGAAGACACGACTCCTGGGAATATGGAGCTCTTTCCAAAAGCAAGCAGAAAATGGCCTTTGGTGTTTCCATGTCATTTTAAATCTTCATGAATTTTATATTCTGTTCTAATTTGTCTCTTTGTTGTTTTTTTAAATTTATTTTCTTATATTACTGTTCATTTTTGTACCATAATTGATTTGTTCCTTCAGTTGTAGTCCCCATAGTTCTGCCACCGTATCACCTGTGAACCATATTACCATATTCCATATTACCATATTCCCTTATGTTCTTCCCTCCTCTGTTTTGAACCTCTCCCCCCAACTTGCTGTATGCCTCAGAGCTACAGTAAGCTTGCTTGTTTTGACTTTTTGTTTCGTTTCTCTATATTCTGCATATAAGTGAAACCATCCAATACTTATCTTTTTCCTTCTGACTTATTTCAGCTAGCGTAGTCCCTTCCAGCTCTATCCATGTTGCCACAAATGGCATGAGTTTGTCTTTTTGATTTCTAAGTAATTCTATTGTTTATTCTATAATTTGAATTTGAAATTCTACCACCACTAACCTCAAAATTGAAAGAAAATTCAAGAACATGCTCATGTTTTCCTCATCTTCCTTTGTTACACTTCTTGGATTACTGTGATCTTGGAAGATTCTTGGGCTTCCATGTGGTGACCAGCCTTTTGTTTTTCTCTCTCTCTTTTTTAAAGATTTTATTTATTTATTTATACAAGCACTGGGTACAGTCAGAAGCACGGGAGGGTGAGAGAATTCACCAGAGCCAGAGTGGGGAACAGAACAGGCAGACCGATGAAGTACACTGCTGAGGGGAGCAGCGGGCATGGCAGAAGAGGTCTGTCGCGCCATGTGGGACCTTCGCCAGGGGCCGGGGATCGAACCAGCACTGCAGAGGCTGCAGGCAGCTTCATAGCCCAGTGCTCAACTGCTGTGCCACCAGGGGAGGCCCTGTTTTTCTCTCTTGTCCTTGCTGACTACCCCTGACTCACTTTGCTGTCTGTTCACCTGAAAGCAGTGGTGAAAAAGTACAAACTTAATGTCTGTATGCATTAGGATTTCAGAGACTGGGCATACCCAGTCTCCAGGCAGGCAGTGCAAGTGTTTGTAATCTATTCCTTAACTGTGGTTAGGAAATCCTAATTTGGGTGTTTTAGGAAGAAAGGCCTTTTCTTCCTTCTTAGACTGTATAACTCAGAGATTACTAAATTTTCATAGTGGGTTCATAGGTGCATGTACTTAGGAGATTTGCTTTGATTCAGACCTAGCCTTTTTCATCCAGATCTAGTTTCTGGTCATGATGAAATAATGTTTATTTTTAAAATGTGTGCCAGCACTTTAATTTATAATTTTAAGGGTGGTGAATACTCATTGTAGAAGTATAAAAGTACAGAGAAATATTACCAAAAAAGAAGATAAAAAGGCCTAAATATAGTATGTTTATACATATTTTCTTTCCCTTTTTCTTTGTTTTTTTTTTACATGTTTGTTTTAGTATCTGTGTTTTTGATTCAATGATATACCAAAAAGCTTCTTACAAAGATAAAAAATTGAAATATTTATAAAATACCAAATACCTTAAGAAAACCATTTGTAGATTTTTTTATGTTTTTCCCAGCATTCTTTTTTCCTTTGGAACATATATTTAATGTGATCAAATAATACATGGTATATGTAATGTCCTTCATCTGAGTCATTAACATTTTTGCCATTTTTAAATTACTCTAAGCATTTTAAGTGACTCTATATTCCATTAAATGTATGTATCATTTGCTTTAATTCATAATCCTTTATTGCTTTTTTACAAAGGTGGTTTCAATTTATGCCTCCTCTAACAGTAAGTAGGTGCTTATCTTGTTTGTCTTTCACATTTGTTATATGCAACATACTTCTCCATCTCCTGCCTTCAAAAGAGGCATTTCCTTCCTGTGGAATTTCCTTTTTTAGATTATTGTAAAGATAATTTCAAGTGTTTCCTAGGTGTTGTGTGGGGGTAAGTGGTCAGTCATAAAAATGGTTTAATGGTAATGTGTGTGTCGATAATCAAACTGTTCTGAGAATACTATCCACCCTTATTCTGGCTTTTGGGTTCCAGCTTCCTCCAGATTAGGTCGAGCACTTGCTGAGCTATTTGGACTCCTTGTTAAACTTTGTGTGGGGTCTCCTGTCCGCCAGAGAAGAAGCCATCATGCTGCCAGCACCACCACGGCACCAACACCAGCTGCTCGATCAACGGCCTCAGCCCTCACTAAGCTCCTCACAAAGGGTTTGTCTTGGCAACCTCCACCATATACACCTACTCCCCGCTTCAGGTGAGGTTCTACTTGAGATTCGGGGACCAGAAAATTACTGTAAAAAAAATCAAATTGGTTCTAAAGTGTTGAGTGAACCACTAAATTAGAGGACTTTGAAGGACCCTTGCTTACTTACTGTATATCCCAAATAAAGTTTAAGGTTTTTATTTTGGTTCTATCAAGTCTAGAATATAAATATTTTTAAAGCATTTATATTCAAACTGCTTTTCTCAGTGACCTTGTATTTGTTAGTAGACAGTAAACACCTTTTTTTTTTCCTTAGAAGTTTTAATAACCACATGCCTTCCAGTAGATTTGTTGTTCACTTCAGAACAATGCTAAATTAATTCTTGGCTTCTATGTGAATTTCCCATTGCTTCTGTGTCTGCCTCAGAGAAGGTTAAACTTTTGCTTTTTCCCTCTTTCAGGCTGACATTCTTCATCTGTTCAGTTGGGTTTACATCCCCAATGCTGTTTGATGAGAGGAAGTATCCCTACCACCTCATGCTACAGAAATTTCTCTGCTCTGGAGGCCACAATGCTCTTTTTGAGTAAGGATCAAGTTGCTTCACAGAGAAGGATTTCTTGGAGTTTGGTCTTGTCTGTGTGCCTTAGCAGCCCACAGTTTTCTAAGTGACCTATCCTGTGACAGTGGGATACATAAAGACAGCTGTTGGTTGTACCTTTTTATGTTCTGGGAATTTGCCATATTGTCTATATCTTTAGAGGGTGGGTTTCAGCCTGTCCTAGAGGTGTTTGTAAGGGTCTCTGCTTTTCTTAATTTGATTCCCAGTTCTTGGTACATATTTTTCTACTAGACTTGTCTTTCTATTGCCTCTCAGAATATGCCTTTTTTTTTTCAGAGATTCTAAGCTGAGTTTCTCCTAAGTTTTTTGCTTGCTTTGATTTTAAAAGTAAAGTTAGAAGTTGTAATCCTTTTGTGGTATATTCATATACCAAATCATTACATTGTGTAGCTTAAACTTAAATATGTTGTGAGTCTATAATATCTCAAAGCTGGAATTAAAAGAAACCAAAAAAGATAATGCTAATAAATGTTGAACAGTGACTCCAAGAGGAGGGATAAGTAATGCCGTTGTAAAGACTGGGAACTTTTTCTATGTACTTGGATCACCACCCCATCTAAAATACTGATATTTTATCTCCAAATTCTCTCTTACTTGAATGTAGAACTTTCAATTGGGCTCTGTCCATGGGAGGCAAAGTTCCTGTTGCTGAAGGATTAGAACATTCAGACTTACCTGATGGCACAGGAGAATTCCTTGATGCCTGGCTAATGCTCGTGGAGAAGATGGTGAATCCCACCACGGTGCTTGAATCTCCACATTCACTGCCTGCCAAATTGCCTGGAGGTGTTCAGAACTTTCCACAATTCAGTGCCCTTCGCTTCCTTGTAGTAACTCAGAAAGTGAGTATTCAGCATTCAAAAATCAAGAGGAATTTCTTATGCTGACTAGGTGATTCTCCCTCAGTTTTGTTCTCCTTAATGAAATAATTGTTGGAGAACCATTGGATCCCACTCCCAGATATAATTGCCTTACAGAAGAGGCCAGACAGCATTTGAAATTTTTCTGTGGTATAAACATTTGAACTGTAAAACTTCAGGTTGGTACCAAGTTGGGTTAAATACTTTGATGTGCTGCTTTTAGCCCTGCTCAGTACTGGCTTGGCATATTGTTGGCACTAATTATGAAAATGTCTTTGACATTTTCTTTCTGGGGCTTTACAATGAAAGAAAAGACCTTACACAGTATTTCAACTGACTTATAGGCAGCCTTTACTTGCATCAAGAACCTGTGGAACAGGAAACCCCTGAAGGTGTATGGCGGGCGAATGGCTGAGTCCATGCTGGCCATCCTATGCCACATCCTCCGAGGAGAACCTGTGATACGAGAGAGACTGAACAAAGAGAAGGAGGGATCTCGAGGAGAAGAGGATACAGGGCAAGAGGAAGGTGGCTCCCGCCGAGAACCTCAAGTCAACCAGCAACAACTGCAACAGGTAGAGTGCTGACCTCACATTTAAGCACCCAGGCTTTACCCCTGATGGAAACTGTGGGGTTTCCAAGTTCACATGCGACTAAGTCACTTTTCCTGTTAGCCAGGAGATGGGTTTAAATTTGCTCCCTCTCTTAGTGTTTAATTTTTCTCTGAAGAAAGATGGAGTATAGTCCCAGTGCTGCTAATAAAAAATTTGTGTCCTCCCAAGCATGTTGTTCAGTATTGGAATTCTTTTACAGCACTCTCAACTTGCTGCTGCCATGTTCTTTGGAAGCACGACTGTGCTCTGCTATTTTCTCATTAATTGTAAATAGAAGGGACATTGTTGCCCTTACTTGTTCTCTTACAGAATGTTTTTCTTATTTTAAAATAAATGTATTCACCACAATTAGAAAATTGGAGGCTAGAAGCAGGGAGAAACTCAAAGGACATTTATATATATTCATTCCTCTCTAAGAATTTGTGTGTATGTATGTGTGTATGTATGCATGCCACATTCTTTATTATAACAGTAATGCTCACTTTAGGAAACTTTGGAAATACAGCAAAGTATTTTTTTAAGACATTTGTACTGTCACCATGCAAGATAGTTATTGTGTTCTCTTCTCTCATCACTTACTCTTACGCCAGGTTTTTAATGTTTGACATACCGTTTGTAGAATTGTATTGCTATCATTAAGAAAATTGCTTTATTTCTTAGTCATTCTTTTATTGTTTGATGTTGTAAAGCTGTGGAGTATATCTTCTTTCTATCCATGTCATGATTTTTGTCTAGTGGTAGAAATCCCAAGTGAGTTTTTCAGGCTCTGTTCTGTTGTCATTTTGCTTTCCAGAAAAGTGGACCCAATTTTTGCTTCTATGTATGAATCTCAATCTTTGATTTAGAATGGCCCTGTTAATGAGACCATCTCGCCCCATTTTCTTAGAGGATAGAATTGAGAATCACCTTGACTTCTGCCTCAATGTGTAGCTCATGTTTGAAAGCTATGGAAGCACCAAGCAGAAAGGATCATTTGTGTTACCTAACTGCCTTAGCTTATAAACGTTTTCATTTTGTGTGAGGTTAGAAAAAACTCATTTCCATCTTGAAAGAGTTCCTGTCTTTTTCTCTTTTACTGTGGTTCTGAGATCCTGCATTCTTTTCGTAGCTCATGGACATGGGCTTCACAAGGGAACATGCCATGGAGGCCCTGTTGAACACCAGCACCATGGAGCAGGCCACAGAGTACCTTCTAACCCACCCTCCTCCAATCATGGGAGGAGTTGTTCGGGTGAGTTGGCTCAGGAGCTCTATCTTTTCAGGGCATTATTTGGCTGCTGATATGCTTTTCTTCACTAGTGCTTCTGTCACTTGTTTTGCCTTCTGTAAACTGCTCATTTTCAGATTTCTCCATGCCAATATTCTTTTTTTTCATGGTGATTCTCATAGCTCTGGATTATAATGAACAGAGGCTTCCTATCTCCCAGCCATGCAAATTACTGGATTTTGCAGAAGAACTCTTTAAATTGTACAGTTAGATAGCAATAGAAGAGGCTTTGTTTTCTGAGATGCAGAATAAGTGGTCACATTGAAGTCCTCTTCCTATATTTAATTTTATTGTGATTTTTCCCTCTCTATTCTTTAGTAACCAGGTAAACCTAGTTGGCTTTGACTCTCGAGAATGGCATTTGGGGCCCCTTCTCTTCTTCTCTAAAACTTGAGCACAAGATGTCTGGTTCCTTGTGAGTCGGGGTATGTGTAGTTGCTGGATTTTCTGTTGTTGCTCTGTAGGATCTGAGTATGTCTGAAGAGGACCAGATGATGAGAGCAATTGCCATGTCTCTGGGACAGGATATCCCAATGGATCAAAGGGCAGAGTCACCAGAGGTAATTAGGAAATGGGGTATCCAGAAAGATCTGACACATTGATCTTAGTATTCATGAACATTCTGCAAAATACTGATGGAATTAAGGTCAAAGAAAGTCATGGTGTAGTACTCATTGATCCCAACCTGATGTATGTTGTGTTGAGGCAGATGAAGAATTACTCTTTATTGTCAGATAAAAGACCCAAAGTATACTTGGTAGTTCCTGTTAAGTCAGACTTGACTGTCTATTCCTAGGTAGCAATCAGTTCAGCTTACTATACTAGCAGAGAATGCAGGACAATGTCAACAGATGATTTTGTGGGCGGTGATATAGAATGCTGCAAATAAATTGATGGTGCTTTGGGGATTGGAAGTGTCTTCCCCACTGCTTTCCCTGTCTTGCCTTAGCCTGTGTGGCTGTCCTCATAGTAATTGTTACACCTTGATGAACAGATCACCTATTTGTGAAGAGAGTAGAGGGTGTTTGTGTACATTCTTGTGTTTCTTCCTTTACCCTCCCATATACCATCACTCTTTCTTCCTTGCTTCCAGGAAGTTGCTTGCCGGAAGGAGGAAGAGGAACGGAAAGCTCGAGAAAAGCAAGAAGAGGAAGAAGCTAAGTGTCTAGAGAAGTTCCAAGATGCTGATCCATTGGAGCAAGATGAACTCCACACTTTCACAGATACCATGTTACCAGGCTGCTTCCACCTTCTTGATGAGTTGCCAGACACAGTGTACCGGGTGTGTGATCTGATCATGACAGCAATCAAACGTAATGGAGCAGACTATCGAGACATGATTCTAAAGCAAGTAGTCAATCAGGTAAGCTTTCAAAGAGCCAGCAGGCAGGAGTATGTAAACAGGAGTATGTAAAGTGGTATTCCTACCATCTTTCAGAACCTAATTTTGGTTGAGAAATTAGTGCTTTTGTATTTAGATATAGATGTACTATGTGAATACATTGTAGATCTGATAATGCTTTTCTTGAATATTCCCTGCAAAAGCGAATTAGCTACCAAACATGTTTTTGAAAAGACAAAACAAGTTCTCTTTTTCTAGGAATGTCTTAAAGTCATCTAAAATTTCCAGATTTTATCTCTCTTGAGCCAAATTAAGCCTCCTGGACTAACAGTGAATAAATGTATCTCTCCAATACCAAGAGCTAGCCAGTTAACATTTTGATTGTCTCTCCCTTACTGTTTTGAAAATTATTGTCATAATTTTTTATTTTTTTATTTATTTTTTTTGTCACACAATCGTGTGTATTTCTACAAATTAAATAACATAAATAACTCTGAGAAGTAACAAAACAACTGGAAGTGCAAATACATATTTTTTAAATCTAGAAATGGGAAAAAATCAAAAAGTGGCATATACAAATATAAATTTAATCCTTGGAAATATAAAAGTAAAAGGCAAACAGGATAAACCATTTTTTTCATAGGAGATGATGATGGTTTAGATTTTTTATTTATATTAAGAGCTTAGAGAAATGATTGTAAAAATCTAAAGCCTTAATAGAAAGGCACAATTATATTCATTACAAAAAATTTGACATGCAAATTAAAGCTAGACCAGTGTTTCTAACATTCTGGCTATTTGGGTTTTGTTTTTAATGATAACTCTTGTGCAGATGTAGTATAGGATTATTGATGTAAATGGGTGGAATCTTTATGGGATTGACTATAAATACCAAAAATATCTTAAATACTCATTTGTTTTAGCTAAGAATTTATCCTTCTAAGATAACCTAAGAGAAAAATCTTAGAGGTGTTCCTTTGTGGCACACATCATCTTTTAATAGAGGCATTAAATCTTTGTAGATATTTTACTATTTATCTAGCCTCCAGTGAATGTCATGGGGGTGGAATATTGTACAAGATTTAAAATATTTTGACAACCCTCATCATCCTGTATCTACAGTTATCTGACTTAGCCACTTTTCTGCTTTTCTAGGTGTGGGAAGCTGCTGATGTATTGATCAAAGCCGCTCTTCCCCTGACAACAAGTGACACAAAAACAGTGTCGGAGTGGATCAGTCAGATGGCCACCCTGCCTCAGGCCTCGAATTTGGCTACTAGAATCTTGCTTTTAACACTGCTTTTTGAGGTAAGATTTGGGTATTTGATTCTTGTGATTCAGTAATCAAAAGAATTATCAGTCACCTATCATTAAACATTGAAAAAGAAATGTAAGGTATGGTCTCTGTATTTCATATGCCTACAGTTTTTAATAGTCTGTCACACATAATTAAGTACAGAATATAATGCTGTATGCCACGTGGGTGGTATAAACGATTTTATCTGAGTTTACCCAAGGGCATATGCATCACTTTGGATAGCTTCTTGGAACAAGTGTTAATTAAAATCAATCTGAAAGGGTTAGGGATGGTAGTTAAAAAAGGGTATTTAGAATGGTAATCATAGTTTGGTTGTAGAGTTCTGTTTCTCTGAAGAAACCTAACTGGTAGCAAAAGACAATGGAGTAGGAATTTGAGATTGGGTAATGGGCCTGAGGTGATATCTGACTCATTTCCTACATGGTCAATCAAGCAGATTATTTGAGGCAAAAGAATGATTTGACCAGGATATGTTCTTCCAACCAACATTGGAATTAGGAGGCAATCGAGCTTAACCAATAGTTAAGCCTGAGTTTGAACCTAAAAGCATCTTAAAAGATGAGTCCAATAATAATATATGTGTCTAGCTGCATATCTACAGTGTTGGCACTTTCCTTTATGATAGAAGTGGTGATTCTTATTTATAGCACATGTAGGAAAAATTGCAAAGTACTCAATGCTGAATTCCCAGTAACATGAGAAAAACATTCATAAGCTCTTCTTTTTTTGTTGTTACAAATTAATTTCTTTATATATATTTTGCATCAGGTGTATTCCCCATAGAATTTCTACCTCCATTTCACCCGTGCACCATCACCATAGTCCCTTGTGCTCTTCCCGCCCTCGTTTTGATCCTTCTCCCTACCCCTCCCCTGCGGAATGTCTCTGATTTATACTTGTATTTGGTTCCCCTGTATTCCTCCTGTAAGTGAAACCATCCGATATTATTTTTTTTCCTTCTGACTTATTTCACTGAGCATAATCCCTTCTAGCCCCATCCATGTTGCTGCAAATGGCATGAGTATCTTTTTTGATTGCTGAATAGTATTCCATTGTGTATATATACCACATCATCTTCATCCAGTCATCTATTTTTGGGCATTTGGGTTGTTTCCATATCTTACCTATGGTAAATAGTGCTGCAGTAAACATAGGGACGTAGGTATCCTTTTGAATTAATGTTTTTGTGTCCTTTGGGTAGGTTCCTAGAAGTGGAATTGCTGGATCACATGGTAACTCTAATTTTAGTAGTTTGAGGAACCGCAACACAGCTTTCCATAGTGGTTGGACCAGTTTGCATTCCCACCACCAGTGTAGGAGAGTTCCTTATTCACCACATCCTCGCCAACATTTGTTGTTGCTAGTGTTTTAGTATGTGTCATCTTACTGGTATAAGGTGGTATCTCATTGTGATTTTGATTTACATTTCCCTGATTATGAGAAATGTTGAACAGTTTTTCATATGTCTGTTGGCCATTTGTATTTCCTCTTTAAAGAAGTGTCTTTTAAATTCTTCTGCCCATTTTTTGACTGGATTATTTACTTTGTTTTTTTCCTTGATTCAAGTGAGTCCTTTGTATATCTTTGTGACCTTATCAGTTGTATGAAGTGCAAAAATTTTCTCCCAGTCAGTAGGGTGTCTCTTTGTTTTGGTTAATGTCTCTTTTGCATAAGCCCTTCTTTTAAAAAAAATAACAGGTAACAGCCTTATATTTTCCTCTAATCGTTCCTCCATGCATTTAAACTGTTGGGATCAGTATATGTGGAATATTCTATATTCTTTTCTCTCAATATTATGATTATTTTCCCATGTTATATATCCCATTTTCTGAACATCTGATTTATTTAAGTAATTGCTTATTGTTAGACATTTAAATTGCTTACTAACATAAGTAACACTTTAGTTAGCCTCAGTAAGGGGAACCATTAATTGTGTTTAATGATTCCATCTTCCTTGAAATATTTATGAAGGTTCTCTAAGTCAGAAGCTTTTCAACTTCAGTATATTTAGGACTAAATGGCTTAGATGACAATCTTTAATGAAATTAATGATGCTAATAACAGTTTCCATATTAAGCACATTCTGTTATGCTGTGTTGTGCACTGTGTGCACACACAACTTCATTCTTTGTTTAATCATCATAATTACCAGTAATCATTACCCTAGAAATGATTATTCCTTTGACCCTTGAGGAAATGAGGGCTATAGAACTTAAGTAACTCATGTCAGATCATACTGTTGGTAAGTGGTAGAAGTAGAATTTTAAATCAACCGATTCTTTGGCATTCACCTCTGTGTCCTCTTATACTATGCTAATGCTTGATACTGAGTAGAAGTTGGTGTGTGTTTTCTTTTTCTTTATTAATCAATTAGGAGTTGAAGCTACCTTGTGCTTGGGTTGTTGAATCTAGTGGCATCCTTAATGTCCTAATCAAACTCTTGGAAGTGGTTCAGCCTTGCCTACAGGCCGCCAAAGAACAAAAGGAGGTGCAGACCCCAAAGTGAGTGACCCCCTCTTTCTCCTGGTTTCACTTCTGCTCCCCTGGTACTTGGGTTCTCAAGCTTTGGACCTTAATCAGACACTGTTCTGGGGCATAATTGGGGCAAATCTTTGGTACTCTCATGGTTTGAAAATTGTGAAATGCCTGATGGATCAGGATAAGCTTCTCATGTTGTAAGGTTTATTGCTTTCCCAGAGTAAATCATTTCTCCTTTTTCAGGTGGATCACCCCAGTGTTGCTGCTGATTGATTTCTATGAAAAGACAGCCATCTCCTCAAAAAGGAGAGCCCAAATGACTAAGGTCTGTTATATAATGCCTATAGTTGGCAGAACTGCTTACCTTCTTGAGGCAAAAAAAAAAAAAAAAAAAAAAGACCAGAAGAGGATTTAGGAGAATGATGAAAAATGTGTAGTTTTCTGATCAAGTTGTAAATTACTTGAGAGATTTTGATAGCTAGATTTCCCTTCTGAACGGGGAGTTAGAATTATTTTTCATGGAGCTGCTTGCTAAAGGACCATTAACTTAACCCTGGAAGTAATGTTAAAGGAGTGTGCTATATATTGAGTGTGTAGCAATTTCTCCAAAGGCGGGTGCTCCTCATATGAAGATTATATGTGCCACATTATCTCAGAACCTTCTCAGAAACAGAATTTTTGTTTCAGTACATCTAAAGTGAACGTTCACCTTTTGTGGAAAACAGTAGGAACAAAGGAAAGCAGAGGATCATAGGACAAAAGGTATAGCGGGTTTTGTGCCTGTGGAAAAACTCAGGAATTTAAGGGTAAATGTATATGAAAACTTCTTTTTTGGTTCTTAAGATATGTTAAATGTCCACAATATTTCTTTTTCCTAGGTTAGCTTTAGCATTGAACACTGATAAAATTACTATTTCTCCTAACAACCAACCTTATAGGGAATACAAAGAAACTCTGTGCTCTTATATTTAGTACCTGCAGTCCAACAATAACAACTGGCGCTGGTTTGATGACCGCTCTGGGCGTTGGTGTAGTTATAGCGCAAGCAACAATAGCACTATTGATTCAGCCTGGAAATCTGGAGAGACAAGTGTGCGTTTCACTGCAGGCCGAAGAAGATACACTGTCCAATTCACTACAATGGTGCAGGTACGTGTTCACTAAATTCTATAAACTTTATTGAAAGAGGGAAGGTGCTGGTATGCCTTTTAGTTTGCCTCTTCCTGAATCAGTATTCCTGGCATGTGTTATAAGGAACAATACTCCCACTACAAAAGTGGGTTTAGTTTTCAGCCAATTGAGTCTTCTTACAGTCATTATGTAGACCATAGATCTGTGGCCATTTGATACTGTCTCACCTGGAAATGATTTTAAATATTCAGTTATGGATTAGGCGGTGGTTAGAAATTATATCTGCTTTGGGACTCCCTGGTGGCGCAAGGGATTAAGCGCTGCACTATGAAGTGATCTGCAACCTCTACACCACGAGTTTGATCCCTAGCCGGCCAGGGAGATACCCACATGGCACAGCAGACCTCTCCTGTCTCGCCTGCTGCTCCCCTCAGCAGTATATTTCAGTCAGTGTGCCTGTTCTGTTCCCCACTCTGTCTCTGGTGAATCCTCTCACCCCCTGCACCTCTGGCCTGTATCCCAGTTCTTGTATACATAAATAAATAAATCTTTAAAAAGAAAAGAAATTATATCTGCTTTATTAGAAAGTTTTATTAGAAAGTTACCACTTCTGGGGATCTTCACGTTTTCTCTCTGTAAATAATTAGCGGATGGGTTAAATTGCCAGGGTTCCTTTCTGTTGTAGTATTTTGCGTTGGGAGGTCTCTCCTCCACCCCTTCTAGTTCTTTTTTTGTTACAGATATTTTTTTGTCTTTCTGAATTCCTAGGTTAATGAGGAAACAGGAAACCGACGCCCTGTGATGTTGACACTCCTGAGAGTACCACGTTTAAATAAAAATTCTAAAAACAGCAATGGACAGGAACTAGAGAAGACACTGGAAGAAAACAAAGAAATGGATATCAAACGTAAAGAAAATAAAGGCAATGGTATGGACTTTATATTTAGTTTTGAATCTTTCAGGAAGTGTTGTAAATAAAATTAGTGTGCCTTATTACTCTGTCTGCATATTTCACCATGAGTGATTTCTTACTAATCAGATTGCTTGGTGACTTTAAAGATACAACAGTCCTCTTTCTTATATGTCCTTTCATCTTGTTTTAGAATTGTTTGGTATGTTTCTCTTAATAGGACCCAAGTGTTTGACTGGTTACTTACAAGGGAGAGGTGTGGGAAGAATTGTCGGGTTTAATTATCTAAACTCTTGCATTGCCATTTGTAGATAACCCCTTGACCCTGGAGATTACTGATACTGAAAAGGAGACAAGCCTGGAAGAAACAAAAATTGGAGAGATCCTGATCCAGGGCCTGACAGAGGATATGGTGACTGTTTTAATCCGGGCCTGCGTGAGCATGCTAGGAGTCCCTGTGGACCCAGACACTTTGCATGCCACCCTTCGCCTCTGCCTGAGGCTCACCCGAGACCACAAATATGCCATGATGTTTGCAGAGCTGAAGAGTACCCGCATGATCTTGAATTTGACGCAGAGTTCAGGCTTCAATGGGTTTACTCCCCTGGTCACCCTTCTCTTAAGACACATCATTGAGGACCCTTGTACCCTCCGTCATACCATGGAGAAGGTTAGTCTTTTTGGTGTCAGACACTGGTGTTGCTTTACTTCAAACCTTTGTTCTCCTTGGTCTCAGAACATAAAGACTTCAGACACTTAATAGGATATGAAGCTATACATACAGACTGTATCTTATATTTACTATAGTAACAATTGGTAAAGTCATTTCTGGTAGTCTAGGTTTCTTCAAAATATATAAATAGGGCCTCTCCAGTGGCATAGCAGGTTGAGCGCAGCACTGTGAAGCTATCCGCAGTCTCTGCAGTGCGGGTTCGATTCCTGGCCGGCCAGGGAGATACCCACATGGCACGGCAGACCTCTCCTGTCTCACCCACTGCTCCCCTCAGCAGTGCTTTCGGTCCGTCTGCCTGTTCTGCTCCCCACTCTTTCTCTGGTGAATCCTCTCACTCTCCCGCGCCTCTGGCCTATACCCCAGCTCTTGTATAAATAAAATCTTTAAAATATACACACACACATACATAAAAGACTGGATGACTTAAAGATTTTTCCATTATATGAATACTTCTCAAATGTCCATCCTAGAGCCTATTTTCCAAACATTGTGTTTTAAGGTTATAAAAAGTAAAGTTTTGTGATGTTTCTAGTATGTCAGACATTTTAATAAGCACTTTGCATATACCCATTATGCAAATCATAAAACTGAGGCTTATATGTTTATTTTAGGAACCATATAAATTGGTGAAAGAGATGACATCGTAATTAAAACACACATAGCATCAACAGGGATGAGGGAGGCAGGGTGAGGCTGGACAAATGTTTTACTAAAGGCTTTTCCTCCTTGGTACTTTTCCAAAATTCCCTTTCCTCCCTCCTGCTAATTTTTTGTCAACGGTCATATGAATGTTACTAAGCAACACTTCTGTTTTCCTCTCTTGGGGTATTGTTTCCCCCGTTATAGTGTTGCAGCATTCATTTTGGTGCATATCTTAGTCATATTTAAGGATTGATTTTCTTAGATATTTGTAGAAATTAGATCAAAAGATACAAGTATTTTTTATTGTTTTTATTTTTTACATCATTGTTCATTTTTAAGCAATATTTGCTTCCCCCTATTGCCCCCAGGTGTAGACCCCATAGAATTTCCTTCACCAATGCACCTGTGTACCATCACCTCAGTCCCCTGAGCTCCTCCCTCCCTCCAATCCCTCTCCTTCCTCCTTGCCTGCAGTATATCAGAAGATACAAGTATTTTTTTTTATTTTGCTTGCCAGCAAGATAATACCACTTTGCACTTCTGTGTATTCATAAGTATACATCTTAGCTTCTTCAGAGAGTTCTTCACCCAACAGAGTTCTTCACCCAACCTGTTTGATTTTACCTGATGTGAACAAAATGAAAAAGTTAAAGGCAGCATGTACAGTGATCCAATGTAAGGAGACAGTCTGTATACAGCTATATACAGATAGAATTTTGACTTAAAATACTATAAATGTTTAAAGCTTAAGCAACTTCAGAAATGCTAGGAAAACAGTACAAGTTCTTGTTGAATGAGAGAGAACATTCTAAACTTAAAAGAAATTGTATTTGGGGGTGTGGGAGCAAAGGAAGATCAGTGGCAGTTTTAACACCAAATTGGCAAAATGTAAATACTTGATAATAATCCATTGCAGGTATGGGTGTGGAGAACCAGGCATGCTCTTACTTTTGATAGGAATGGAAATTGGTGCAGCTACATTGGAGGGCATTTTGGTACTGTCAGTTTAAGATATCCTTTGACCTAGAAATTCTATGGCTAAGATTTATCTGATACTGCAGTCAAGTATGCCAAGGTACACATACAAGAATATTGACTGTGATATGAGAATTACTTCTAATATCAAGAAATTAGGGAGCTCTCTTTGGCAGAGAACTAGACAAATAAATTATAGCACGTTCTTTATAGTAAAATTGTATTTGCCTTTATTTAAAAAAATGAGAATTATTTTATAATAGCAGTCCAGCAGGCAAGATATTATAGCGGTTAATACACTAAAGAGCATGATTGATTTGGTAAGAAAAACATTGATTCCAGAAGGTATTTATCTTTGTGAATATAGTTAACAAAGGAATAGGAAATGGAAAATACAATGGAGTTATTTTCCCTTTTTTAAATATATTTATGCATACAAGAACTGGGGTACTGGCCAGAGGTGTGGTGGGTGAGAGTATTCACCAGAGACAGAGTGGGAAACAGGACAGGCAGATCTACCAAAATACATTGCTGAGGGGAGCAGTGGGCAAGTCAGGAGAGGTCTGCTGTGCCATGTGGGTAGCTCCCAGGCCAGGGATTGAACTCATGCTGCAGTGGCTGCGGATTGCTTCATGGGTTGTGTCTTAACCTTAAGCCTTGTGCCACCAGGGAGGCCCCCAATGGAGTTATTTTCTTTATGCTTTCCTGTATTTTCCATGACTGGTCAATTATTTTTTGAAAAGAGCAAAAACCATAACATTGTCTAAGCCTGGTGGTATTAAAGCAAACAATCCGTAAATAGTTTGATACCTCTGATGGCTATCATTATGAGACCTGAGGCTTGGTTTTGAGGAATAAAGAAAATATTTAATTTTGTTATTAAAGAGTAAGTGGATAGCAATATTACATATTTTTAAATATTGAACCATTGTAGTTTAAAATTGGGACAGTGTTTTGGGAAGACTAGGAGCTGGCATTTAAATGTGGGAGCTACACTGGAAGGAATTATGCTCAGTGAAATAAGCCAGAAGGAAAAAGAAAAATATCGGATGGTTTCACTTATAGCAGGAATATAGGGGAACCAAATAAGACATCAATGTAAAAAAAAATAATAACAGTACATAACACAACAAAGCAAGAACAGACAATTATAAAAGACATACTGCAGACGAGGAGGAGGGAGAGGGATCAGAGGGAGGGAGGGAGGAGCACAGGGGACTGAGGTGATGGTGCACGGGTGCATTGATGAAGGAAACTATAGGGACTACACCTGAGGGGGTGGAGAGAAGCAAATATTGTTTAAAAATCAACAATGATGTAAAAAATTTAAAAATTAATAAAAAATTTAAAAAAATAAATGTGGGAGCTATGATCTGGATGGCGCTATGGTCTAGACACATCTGTCAATTTCTATAAAGATCACATGCTATCTGATCTCAATAATTGATAGTTTTGAGATGTGATGAATGCCCTACCTTTTTAATGAGTCACGTTTTATGACCTGGTAAGGAATGAGATTAGAAAGAATGTGTATCTTTCTACCCAAAGTCAAAAGTTGTCATCCACTATTTGAGGCAGACTTGGTTAGTATTTTAACCTTTGATAATTCTTCCTTAAATACAATTGTATTTTTGCGAAGTGGTCTTTCTAAACAACAGTGTTTCTCCCTGTTTTTACTAGGTTGTTCGCTCAGCAGCTACAAGTGGAGCTGGTAGCACTACCTCTGGTGTTGTGTCTGGCAGCCTTGGCTCTCGGGAGATCAACTACATCCTTCGTGTCCTTGGGCCAGCTGCATGCCGAAATCCAGACATTTTCACAGAAGTCGCTAACTGCTGTATCCGCATTGCCCTTCCAGCCCCTCGAGGCTCAGGAACTGGTGAGTTTCCCCCTCTCCTGACCTTTAGAACATTGAAATTTATGATCTCATAACTCCAGAGATATTCTGTGAGATCTGTAACTTGGAAAATTGGGACATTGACTGGTTGAGTATGTGGATCAGAACAGAAGTACTTTAGTAGCTTCTCTGGTCCTTGCCCTTTGGTAATCCCTGCCAGAGATACCAAGGACTCATTAAGTTTAGTCTATGCTCATCTTGATGTGGCAAAAGGGATGGCTTATAGATTGTGATAATTAAGAGACAAATGGATATGTGACACATGTGATGCAATAGAAAGAACACAATATCATCTGCATTTTCTTCCCCCAAAATGTTTTGCCTATATTTAATTATAAGCAAATACAAATTGTGAGACGTTCTAATGTGATGTAAAGAAAAAAATGCAAGGGTTTCCTGGATTGAAGTAGACCAGAGAGAGAACTTTTAGATAACCTTGATGAGAATCTGAATCCAAATAAAGATTTGTAGAAGTTTGAATACTGTTACTATTAGAGAATGTAATAGTATGCATGTTATGTTTCTTGGGTGTTATACTGGGATTGTGGTTATGAAGAAAATACCCTTCATTTTAGGAAGTACAGTTTAGACATTTAGGAGTAGAAAAATGGTGTTTCGAGGTGAAATGAATATATGGATGTTTATTGTACTTCCTTTCAACATTTCTGTAGGGTTGTGGGATTTCTGGTTTTTTCTTATAAAAATTGGGGGATCACTAATTATTTGGGAACCCACAACTGTATGTCTGGTCCTGTGCCCGAGCATTTCTTACATATGAGCTCATATAATCCAAATGAGAAAGTTGAGTTTTATTGAAGTAATTTTGGCTATGATCCTATAAGAGAACTGGATTTCAAAACCAAGTCTCCCCAACTCCAAAGCCAGTATTCTTTTTACTATTTGTTATTGTTGTTAGATTTAGAGGAGGTGAAAGCCAGATTTTCAGCTTACCTGAACATCATTTGGAATCTCTTGTCCAAAGCTATATAAGTACTATGCAAGCCCCTTTCAGTGTTTTTGTCAGTAACCAACTACTGACTGATTTTTCTCTGGCTTAGCTTCAGATGATGAATTTGAGAATCTTAGAATTAAAGGCCCTAATGCTGTACAGCTGGTGAAGACAACCCCTTTGAAGCCCTCACCTCTGCCTGTCATTCCTGATACTATCAAGGAAGTGATCTACGATATGCTGAATGCCCTTGCTGCATACCATGCTCCAGAAGAAGGTATGTAGTTAGACCACCTCAGGAGGCTGTGCAATTTGTCTGGATCATTTTAACCTACTCATGGCTTAATGAGCACTCACTGTGTGATACAATCTGGGGATCAAGGATAATGCAGTTCTCTGAAGAAGCAAGTAGTCACACAGTATGACAGAAGCCAGGCTAGTAGTAAGTCCTACAACAGGGACCTGTAGAAAAGATTCTCAAAATAAGTGGTTTCTGAAATAAGTTTTATTATTTTTTAAAGATTTATTTATTTATGTATACAAGAGCTGGGGTACAGGCCAGAGATGCTGGGAATGAGAGGATTCACCAGAGACAGAGTCAGGAACAGAACAGGCGGACTGACTGAAATGCACTACTAAGGGGAGCAGCAGGTGAGACAGGAGAGATCTGCCTTGCCATGTGAGTTGTTCCCTGGCCGTCCGGGTATCGAACTCGTGCCACAGAGGCTACAGATTGCTTCATAGTGCGGTGCTTAACCCCTTGCGCCACTAGGGAGGCCCCTGAAATAAGTTTTAAATAAGGATGAGGAAATTGCCTGAGTTCAGGGTATATCTACATCCCGTGTGGCAGAAAGAATGAACAAATTAAAAAGATAGTAGTTGAAAATAAAATATCAGGAAGTCTAATGTACTCACGCTCAGAAACAAAAGAAAGAGCTGTGAATGGGACAATATTTAAAGGTATAACTAGGCTTGCTGACCTTTAAGACCACCATTTTAATCTGTCTTTACTCCTAATGTTCTGCTTGTAAGTCCTAGGGAAGTACTTAGTCATGAGTGAGTCACTCGGAACCCAAGGCTTCCCTAAACTTTATTAAGGACATACTTATTTCATAGGTCCCAAAGAATGGCCAAAAATTGAATAGGACCTTGGATTGAAAACTGAAGGAAATCTGAGTTTTTACTTTGATGGTTTTCATACATATAGCACACTGATATGTATTGAGCTCCTTGTGTTCCCTACAACCACAATCTAAACCCCATCTCCTATATTCTCCCGCCCCCCCCCAAATAATTTAGCTACATAACTATAGCAACCATTTATTTATCTCCCACTGCACCAGGCATAATGCCAGGTGTGTTCATTTAAGTTTATAGTCACAGTTGAGAAAGGGAGGAGCATAAGTAAACTGCCTGTGGTCACAAAACTACCTAATGATAGCATGAAGACCTTCAGCCATGAAAAGCTGAACAACAACAACAACAAAAAAAAAAAAGCTTGGTTATACTACAATACATTTGTTCCTCATTCTTAAGTGAAAGCCTAGGCTGTGTAAACAGTTGTAGTAACTTGGAGTGAAATTGACCAAGCTATGAGATAGGCATCATCAACATTGCACAATTACAAAAGAGTTTTTCCTTTGTTTTTGCCTTTCTAGCAGACAAATCTGATCCTAAACCTGGGGGTATGACCCAGGAGGTCAGCCAGCTCTTACAGGACATGGGCGATGATGTATACCAGCAGTACCGGTCACTTACTCGTCAGAGCAGTGACTTTGATACACAATCAAGTTTTTCCATTAATGTAAGTTAATTCTAACCTATTTCCTTTTCCCTTTCTCGTAGCTGTGATTTCTCAGTATTTAGGCTTATACCATGGGAATTCCAAAGTTAATAAAATCATTGTATCTGAAAATCATCTGCTGCCTAAAAATGAAGATAAAGTTGTCATAGCCCAAGGATTTTCTTCCCTTCCCTTGGGCTAGAAATGCTTCCTTAGTTGATTTTTCATTTTCCTCTGTCCCTTCTCCCCATCTCTTAGTCACTCTGTTTATAATGATGGCTTTCTACAAATGTTATAGTGTATCAGGGGAAAAGTGGTTAAAACAGTTAAATCATAGCCTGAAGAGAATCTGTTCCTTTCACAACTGTTACCCTAGAAAGGAATCATGCTTTGGGAATACAATTGCCTTTTAAATTAATAATGACTCAGGAGATTTCTTCTTCCATAGAGTCAGGTCTTTGCTGCAGATGGTGCCTCCACTGAGACTTCCACATCTGTGACATCCCAAGGAGAAGGTAATGGTTTTCTTTCTCCCTTTTTGGTTCATATTTCTTGAGAGGACAAGTTGAAGAAACTGGGTGTCCTGGGCAGGACATAGGGGAATACAGGTATACATATTTGCTTGTCTGAGTGAACTCTGTCAAAGGTGAGCTCAGTGTTCTGAAAGGAGTGTGTATATGCTAAAGTTAATGGAACTGTGACTTAACTCAGTAATGATTGCTATGGCAACATCTTTTAGATCTACTCTAAACCACCTGATAATATTTTTTTGGTGGTTTTCATGATGACTACTCCAGCTATAAGGTTTGCATGGTGGATTCTAGCCTTCTAATAGTACAATAGAGCCCACTGGCTACTCATCATAAATTATAAAAATTTCATGTGGGATCCATTCCACCAGTACCTTTCAAGGAAGTATCTTTGAGATCTAAATTAGGAGACATTGTACTTAATATTAGATTCTAGTCCCTAGAGATAAATCAAAAAGGCTAATAACTATTGGTTAACTCATTGATGGGCTTACTGTCCATATGTAGCACAGTTTGGGTGATGGCAGTATCATTCAAGGGAAGCATCAGTGCCCACTGTGTAGCAGACTATAATAAATACCAAAATGAGTCAGATTCACTCTATGCACTTAAAGAATTTTTTCTCTTGAGGGACACCTGCAAAACTTAACAATACAAGGTAGCTATTGAAATGGAGTCATATGTGGTAAGGTATAGTGGGAACATAATATCTCAGTGGCCTAGTACAGTGTTTAGGGTATATAATGTTTAAGAGGAAAAAAATGTTGGAAAATGTGTGAGAAGCTTGGGAGACCCTCCCTATAAAGTCTAAGACATGGATTTTCTTGTTGTCCTTCTACAACAGTATGAGGAAAGCATTCAGTTTGTAACACTGACCTGAAGTAGGGATGTGGTATTCTTTCCACCCAGGACTTGACTTCACCAATATTACAGTATGGAATTGTACCAGCTTTTGATTCTTTCTCAACAGCTTCAACTCCAGAGGAGGCTCGGGATGGGAAGAAAGATAAAGAAGGGGACCGGGCCACTGAGGAAGGCAAGCAGAAAGGCAAGGGCAGCAAACCTTTAATGCCCACCTCCACTATTCTTCGTCTTCTGGCAGAGTTGGTGAGATCCTATGTTGGTATTGCTACCCTAATTGCCAACTACAGCTACACTGTGGGCCAGTCTGAGCTGATCAAAGAGGTAATACTTCTAACTTCTGCTTAAAGATACTATCATTTGGATACATGCTATGGGTTGAACATTTTCCTAGGAACTTAAGACATTAAAAGTGTTTCCCATGATGTGGAGCCATCAGGCTAACTGCAGGGAGTAAGCTGATGCAATTTGTTGGTTTGTTTTGTAGAAAATTATTTGTCTACAGTGTGGAGACTCTAAAAAGCAAGGTTGGAATCAGAGAGACAACCTAGGAATCTAATGTAGTAATCTAAGTAATATAGGATCTAAGGAGGGAGAGGGGGGAGCAGAAAAATGGGTAAGTTGAAGAGATGTTTTAAAGGTAATGTTAATAAGAATTGTATTTGAAGGATCAGGTGGACATAAAATACTTTTTATTTCTATTCCTTTTATGTTAAAAGAGACATGGTTTGAAGAGAAAATTTTGAATTTGAGAGGTATTGGTGGAAAATCTATGTAAAGGTATATAGGGGATACCTAGATAGAAGTATCTATAATGCTGTGGGAAAGAATGAAGTCATATTTTATATGTTCTGATACAGAACTATCATCTGATTAGATTTTTCAAGTAAGATAAAACTTTAAGAAACTCATGTTTTCTTTAAGTGCAAGTTTTTAAAAATACATACAAGAATACACAACTCTTGGATGATTTGTCGACTTTTCTTAGGTGATTTATCAACTTTTCTTTGGTGACCACCGGCAAAATTAACTAAACATTATAAACTCCACAAAGCTTTCCCCCTCGTCTTCCTCACCCCTTTGAGTTCCCCTAAGGTCACTGTTATCTTGAGTTCTATTGCCATAGATTAGTTTTGTACTGTATACATATATATAAAATCTTATAGTACCTCTTGCTTAGTAACATGTTTGCAAGATTCATTTTTGTATGTATAGTTTATTTTCATTGCTGTATAGAATTCTACCATGTGAATGTTCACAATCCTTTTATCCATCTTAGAGTTAGTAGGCAATTGGGTAGTTTTCCAATTAGAGATACTGTAAAAGTAGTGCTGCTACAGTTATATTTTTATATGTCTTGATGAACGTATAGGGTGGTATATGCCTAGGAGTAGAATTGCTCGTCTGTTCAGCTTTCCCAAATGGTGCCAAAAGTATTCCAGAGTGGTCCTGTTGATTTATATTAATACTCCAGTATAGGAATTCATATTATGTCACCTCCTTGATGTTTTTCCTTTTAGCCATTGTACTGTACAAAAACACTTGATGTTTTTCCTTTTAGCCATTCTAGTGGATTTGAAGTGGTGTTGCATTGTGGTTAAAATTTCCCTCTCTTTATTGGCCATTTGTGATTTTGCCTGTCAAGTGTCTTTTCAGGTCTTTCCTTATTTTCTATAGAATTATTTATATATTCTGAATAAAAGTCCTTTGTAGAGTACATGTATTAAATGTTAGGCATTTATTTCAGTGCTTCTACTCATTTTTGCCAGTTTAGTTATGAGTTATAATTATAAGACATTTAATTGCAGGTGTATAAATGCTTAATATGTGTCAAGTGACCTGGTACTGGGAACTCATAGATGCTTTACAAATACTATTGTTAATCCTCACCACAGCACTGCAAAATTGCTCCCCTTAACAGAAAAGGGAAGGCTCAGAGAGATCAGTAATTTGCCCCCGGCCACACTGCACAGTAGCAGGAGCAGAATTAGAGCCCAAGGTTCTGATTGCAAAGCCAAATCCTTTTTACTCTGTCACACTGCTTTTCCAAATTGCAGAACCTCTTTCCAGTTTTTACAAATGTCACATACTGTTTATGCATTTATTCAGAAAACTTTGACCTTGTAGTTTATTTATTATTAGGAAATGCATTTTTATTTCTTATAGTTTTGACTTTAACAAGGTCTTTACCTAGTTTCCCAAACTCTAAAATTCTTGAATGCATTTTTAAGTAAAATTCACATAAAATTAAGCATATAAAGTATGCAGTTGAGTGACATTGAGTACATTGAGTGTTGTCTAACCATCTCTTACCTAGTTTCAAATTTGTCAGTACATTTTGATCCAAAGTCTGTTTGAATGACAGCAGAAATAAGTTTCAAGACAGAAATTGTTGTTAGAGAAAAAGAAGAGTCTGACTTAATTTCCTTCCCTATTGTTAGCCAGTTTTTGCCATTTTAAGTAATCCTGTATTAAATAATTTTGCATATCCGTATCTGTGAATGTGCTATTCCTCATTCATCTAGTGCCATTTTCTAACCGGAGGTTCTCAGCATGTTGTTGGTGTCAGAAAAATGTTACAATGTAATTGAATACTGGAGTATTAATAGTGTGCAATTTGGAATGAAGATTTGAATCCTCTCCACTGACTAAGTTCGTTGGGCCTTGTGTACCCATCTGGAAGATAAGGAAGATAGTGATTTTATGTGTTTACTGTGAATAGTTCTGTTAAATACCTCTCAGGTAAAGATGTTTTAACAAAGGCCAAGTAACATATAAATGAAAGCATGTAAACTTTATTTTTGTGGTGGGTAATGAGTGTGATTCAGAAGTATAAAATATGGATTTGCTACTCACTTAGTTTGTACCTTTGAATCTTGGTTTTTCTCATCGTTAAAGTCAACCTAAGAATCATCAAGTGGGTGACTTGAAAGGATCAGCTGTATGTTTACTATGCAAACAATATGGCATCACTGTGCTTGTTAGTAAGTGTTATGATTAATAACTTTTCAGGATTGCAGTGTGCTAGCTTTTGTTCTGGACCACCTCCTCCCACACACCCAGAATGCAGAAGACAAGGACACTCCTGCCCTGGCTCGCCTGTTCCTCGCAAGCCTGGCTGCTGCAGGGAGTGGCACAGATGCCCAGGTGGCCCTAGTGAATGAAGTAAAAGCAGCCCTGGGACGGGCACTGGCTATGGCTGAGAGTACAGAGAAACATGCCAGGTAAAATTCATGCCTGACCTAGTATCATCCCTTTACTCCATTCTTGATCCTTGGATGTCCTTACACTTGAACAAGAGTTCTGATCATACTGGCACTGTACATTCTCTGGTCCTCTCAAATAGTTCTAGTGCTTCAGAGTAGTCAAAGCAACAGTTACATTTGGAGGATATGAGTAAACAACTTTAAGAAAAAAGAGGGATATTTTCATTATATTTTTAGGGTCTTAAAGCAACAAGTTCAGCGGGTTATGGTTATTCAGTCTTATTTTTTAAATTATGTTTAAAGAAAATGAAGAATGCTACTACCTAGGGAATGAGTTCTCTTGTTTAGATATTACCTCCAGAAGGAAACACAAAGGATACAGGAGGGTTACCTGAGTCAGGTTAATGAAGATGTCCTAAGAATGGGCTATATTCACATGATAAAGATGTTAAAATTCTCTCCCAGGCTTCAGGCAGTGATGTGTATCATCAGTACTATCATGGAGTCCTGCCCCTCCACCTCCAGCTTCTACAGCAGTGCCACGGCCAAGACCCAGCATAATGGCATGAACAACATCATTCGACTCTTCCTGAAGAAGGGACTGGTTAATGACCTGGCCAGAGTGCCTCACAGCCTGGACCTGTCCAGGTAAAATCATTCCCAAACTCCAGCCCCAGGCTTTTTGCCCTCCTCATTTGTCTAGAGTTTCGTGTTTTCTTACCAGTTGGATAGTGAGCAACCAGTATGATAGGTAAGGTTTGAATGTAAGTGGGAACTTGTTCTTAGTACTGTGACTTTTCAGCAGAGCACTTAATTTTCTTTCTTGAGACCTTAGTTTTCTCATTTGCTCCAAACTCAAAAGTTGAACCATTTTGGTAATTTTTCCCAAGCTTTCCCTCTTTTAATTAAAAATAACCTTTTATTATAAGATTATATGTTTAGGGCCTCCCTGGTGGCGCAGCGGTTGAGCTCTGGGTTGTGAAGCTGCCCGCAGCCTCTGCAATGCCAGTACAATCCCCAGCCACTGGGCTAGGGTCCCACATGGCGCGCAGACCTCTCCTGCCAGCCGCTGCTCCCCTCAGCAGTGTGCTTTGTCAGCTGCCTGTTCTGTTTCCCGCTCTAGCTCTGGTGAATTCTCTCATCCTCCTGTGCTTCTGACTGTACCCAGTGCTTGTATAAATACATAAAATAAAATCTTAAAAAAAAAAAAAGATTATATGTTTAAGAAGTATTAATGAGCCAAAATAAAAAGTAGGTACCATATTTCTACCAACTGGCTACTATTATTACCTTACCTTAATGTATATCTTTTGGTGGTTTTGCATGCAAATGATGTAATTTTTTTACTAAAGTGATACACAAGTTATTATATGACCAGGGTTGGGTTATTCATTGTTGTTTTCAATTACTAGTCTCTATCTTTCTGTGTATGTATATGCTAATGCCAATCCATATTCAAAAATTTTGGTGCAGGCCAGAATCCACTTGTAAGCCATGCATTACATCTTGTTATATCTTCCAATCCTCTGTTACCCTAACACAGATCCTGAATTAAATTTTTTAATCTTCATTTTATTGCTGTTCTTCATGATACTAATTTGTTGAAGTGACCAGGCCTGCTGTACTGCAGAATGTTTTGCCTACTAGATTTGGTTCCTTGCAGTATAGTTTTAACTTGTTCCTTACTCCCTGTTATTTTCTGTAAAAGTTAGCACTAACTTTTACAGAAGGTTGATGGAACAATTTAAACATTAGTTACATTAGATGATATACATCTCATATTGTATATGAGATCTTTGAACTGCCATTATCATGTTAAGATTCACCTCTCACAGTAAGAATGATAGTCATCTGTTATATTTTCACTCCTTACTGGAAAGTAACTTGAGTTACTACTTTGGCACTGTACAAATGTCTAGTTCCCTGTCAACCATATACCTAATGGTTTTAACACTAGTTGATAATCCTTGCCTGGATCCATTAATTTCTTTTGAGAGTTATCACTGATGACTTTCTAATTTGTCATTCCTTCTACATTATTAGTTAACATTTTTCTGTTATATAGACCCAGTTCTAGGAGGAAAGTCTGGACATACTGAAATACAGTTCCTACTGAGAAGGCAAAATAAAAACATAATTTTTTTTTCCCTTTTAAGTCCAGTTTTCAGAGTAAAGTCAGAAATAGGTTTAATCACAACCTCAACTGTTTCCTCTTTCTATTTTTCAGTACTATTGTGGACTCATAAATTTTCATTAATTTTTAAATATCAATGATTGCTTTGCATTATTAGTTCACTATAGTCATCATTCTTTTTTGGGTTCAGATATTTACACCTTTGGCCCAGGAGGCCTTTCAGACTGGATTTGTATGTTCAGTTCATCTCTGTATCTTCCTTTATCTCAGTCCCAACATGGCCAACACAGTCAATGCTGCTCTGAAGCCTTTGGAAACGCTTTCCCGGATTGTGAACCAACCCAGTAGCCTTTTTGGCAGCAAGAGTGCTTCTAGCAAGAGCAAGTCTGAGCAGGATGCCCAAGGAGCCTCTCAGGACTCCAATAGCAACCAGCAAGACCCAGGTAGGGAATCAGAGCCAATGGACTAGAGAACTGGCCGGGTGGGTATAGTTATTTTATGGGCATGGCATCGCAGCTGTTCTGGTGTGGTATTGTTTCCCTGGGAACTTGCTGGCCTTCCAGAGATCTGTCACAGTGGTGTTGGGAGTCTGCTCCACAAAGAATTCCTTAAAATTGCAGCCTTATTTGGCTATCCTCACACGTAGCCTTGTCTTTTCCTTTGTCACCCATTCATTTATTCTCTGAGAACTTGCAGACTTGCCCAGGGAAGGGGCTTTATTGTCTTTACACTTGCCTCGTGGTGCCCTGCACATTATTTTGCTGGTTGGTTGATTGTTTCAGGCGAGCCTGGGGAAGCAGAAGTGCAGGAGGAGGATCATGATGTCACTCAGACAGAGGTGGCAGATGGGGATATCATGGATGGGGAGGCTGAAACCGACTCAGTGGTGATTGCTGGGCAGCCTGAGGTGCTCAGTTCACAAGAGATGCAGGTAGGGAGGCAGATCACCCAGCATACCCCTATTGCGACGCTGAACCAAACCCCCAAGTGATGTGGGTGGGTGAGTACTTTAGATCCTTGCCTCAATGTTGTCTGCTTTGCAGTGGAGCACAGATGATATGCTTAGCAGATGCTTAGTAAATGTGTTTGAATTGTATTAAATGAGGGATGGGGGTGGGGCCAGGATGCCATATACTATGAAATGGAATCGCTCCCAAAAAGAAAACTTAGACACAGGTGAAATGTGTTGACATAGAAAGCTGACCTGAGCCCTTTGGGCCCAGGGTCCTTGATTTACTTGGCTCTGGTCATTAATGGAAGCTCCTTAACATCACTGTTGGGCCTATTGCACCAACTGTCACTGGGGCATTAAAACGGCAGTCTTGTAAAGACATTAAAGAAAACATTGTAATTTCTAGATCTGGTAGCAATGGTAAGAAATGGGGCTTACAGTCTTTAAGCTGCTAGCTCTAAGGAGATCTGCATGTATTCCTGGACAGTATAAAGACTAACCTGGTCTTTGATAACTGGGATGGAGCCATTTGAAGGACAGTCTGAGTGTGCATTGGAAGCACATGGTCGTTTCTGTGCTCTTAGCACCAAGTGTGTGGTGTTTCATGTAAAATCCTGTCATACATTATCCTAGAAATACATGCTCCCTTGCTGGCTTTTTCTAGGGTTTCAGTGTTACTAGCATAATGATAGACTTGTGTGCATCCATGTATATGTTCTATTTCTCTCCAGGTTGAGAATGAGCTGGAGGACCTGATAGATGAGTTGCTTGAGAGGGATGGCGGATCTGGGAACAGTACAATTATAGGTGAGAGCCCCAGAACTGAGTATAGCCTCTTCCTTTGCCTCAGTCTCTCTTGGGAGGACCCTTTTTCTCATCATCTGCTTGCTCAGCTCTGCCTAAGGGCTCATAGCCAGCCTAGATTGCTGCTTGTCTTGATGTTGACGGTCTCACAGATGAGAAATTCACAAGCCATCTGTAGACCTGTGGTGGGTCTGAAGTGTTGCCTGTGTTGGGGGAGGAGGGGGCGGCCATTAGTACAGATGATACATCAGGCACATGAAGAGTGTTTATTCATGGAGGCCTAGAGAAGGCTGTAGAGGCTGTAGGGTGAAAAAGTGCTTTCCTTTCAGTTCTTCAGTGAAATCCAGGGGCTTTCCGCCTCTGAGTCTCAGTAGTTTGTAAAGGGTGGCCCTTTTTACAACGCAGAAGGAAACTGGCAAAGACACCCTACTGTCACTTGAGTACAAGGGTGCATGTGTTAACGCGTTATTTTATTGATGAAGGAAACCAAAGGCTATACCAAAATAGACATGTATTCTTAATTTTGACAACACTTTTTCACACCCATTATCCTTTGTGGTTTCACAATTAGTGGGATTGGCAGAGCAGATATGACCATCCCATTTTACAGATGAGGAAACTGAGACTCAGACAGGTAAAGTGACTGGCCAAGCTCACGCAGCTAGTCAACAGCAGAGAACTCAGGTCTTCTCCCTCATCCAAAAAAAAGTGAATATCTGCTGGGTGTACGTAGCTATTTTAGGCGCACCCAATCTGGAAAGGGAAGTCCTCTGTTGTTCAGTGAAGGCTCTGCTCTGTAACCTTCAGTGAGCAGAAGTGGAGAGGATGAATCACAAGAGGACGTGCTGATGGATGAAGCTCCTTCCAACCTCAGCCAAGCTTCCACCTTGCAGGCCAACCGAGAAGGTGAGAGTGCCGAGGCCAGAAAGGCCTCCCTTCTTGCCCTGCACGTCTGACAGACACTACACTAGGGTTTTCCTGGAGGCAGCTGCACACATGTGCAAAATAAGGAAGCATCTGTCTGCATGCGCTGACATACACCATCCACTTTATCCTCAGCCAGTTTTTCAAATAACATGTTACTACTGCTTGCCCAAAAGTTTGTCACTTCTTACTTGGTTCGCTTTCTTCTCACCCACCTGCTATCATCGCTCCAGATTCCCTCTTACAACAGGATGCAGTCGATAGCAAAGTAGGGCTCAAAAGGCAAGGGGGCACCATCAGACTTGGCCAAGTTGCAGACCATGGCTCCTCAAGCACCTATAGCCAGCCAGCCTGCCTCCACATTCAGCCACCCTGCTCAGCGTGTTGATGTATTGTTGGCACTCAGGAAATCAGGGCTGGCTCACTTAAGTCTTTATATCACACTAGATCTGGTTCTTCCTCTCCTAGAGTCAGATACCCCATTGCCTTCCCACTCAGTCTGCCGACCTGCACAGTAGCCTGTTTTCTAGCTACTCAGTATAGTCCTCCAATGTGCTCCCTTTGTTTTAGATTCCATGAATATCCTGGACCCTGAGGATGAGGAGGAGCACACTCAGGAAGAGGACAGCAGTGGCAGTAACGAGGATGAGGATGATAGTCAGGATGAAGAGGAGGAGGAGGAGGAAGATGAGGAAGATGATCAGGTGAGGGGGGACTGTGTTTGGGTTGGTTCAGACAACCTCTTCCATGGGAACACAGCTGGAGAAAACCAACAGTCTGGGTTGCTAGCTTCAGCGCCTCCCTCCCTCATGTGCAAATGTGGCCATGACACCAGACTTCAGAAAACCTACCTCCAGAAATTCTCCATCTCCTATTTTCCCCTTAAGGAGGATGATGAAGGTGAAGAGGGAGATGAAGACGATGACGACGATGGCTCTGAAATGGAATTGGATGAGGATTATCCTGATATGAACGCTTCTCCCTTGGTCCGATTTGAGCGCTTTGACCGGGAGGATGATCTCATCATTGAGTTTGACAACATGTTCTCCAGTGCTAGTAAGATACAAGGGCTCAGCTGGGTTTAACCTCTTGATTCTTAATACCCTTCTTTAGAGTAAGCCAAGCAGTGAACCAGAGCAGCTATCAATCTAAACAGACAACACTTCTTTTCCTATGCTGACTTCCTGGGGCAAAGGATATCTGAATCCATCTCTCTCAATAAGTGTATACTTAGAAGAAGGAATTGTGAGAGACTGATTTTGTTCTCTCCACCTCAATAAACAGGCAGCCATTTTAGAGCACGCATGGACAACTTGATGATTTTGCTTGAATTTTTAGAAAAAAGACCAAGGCTGACTGCATCAGGCACCCATGTGCACACTACAGTGGCAGGGCAATCAATAATCCTTATGTCTGTAACACTGGATCTTGAGAGTTTGGATGGACACCTTTGAGCTTGGCATTGGGGAGTAGATTTGAGCACATTCACTGTTCATCAAGGATGCATCTTTTCGGAGGAGTGATTCTCTTCCTTCCTCCCCCATCATCGTCAAAGTTCCCTTCTAGCATCGAGTTCTTAAAATCACTCTGTCTTGAGAAGACAGTTCTTGACCCCAAATCACAAGCATAATATAGTTCAGAAAACACTGAACTGTTCTGGTCTGTTGTCTTGGCCAAGTAGTCTTTTACCTCTTTGAGCCTCAGTTTGTCACCTGTAAATGAAAAAGTTTGAAAAGAAATTAAAAATGGGTTGGATTATATAATTTTCAAGATATCTTCTATTCTGTGATTATCTGCATTTTTGTGATTTCTATCAGCCTTCCTTGTGTTGAGTTTCTGCCCATTCAGTAAATTGAACAAGTATTTGATGAATGCTGAATTGCTGGGGATATAGCAATAAAAAGGAAAACAATCCTTTTTCCTCATAGGAGTGTATGGTCTATTAGGAGTTATAAGTAAACAGTCATTATATTGTATGGTAAGAAACACTGAGTAAAGGATCATTAAGCCAATCTGTAGTAGTAGAACTGAATAAAAGAACAAGTGAAGAGGGAAAGGAGTCTTCAAGGTGAAGGGGACAGCATGTTTCTGAGGGACCGAAAAGCATCACTGTGGCTGTAGTGTGGAGAATGGATTAGGATCAGGTACTACTTAGAACTAGCTGTTGTAGCATTAAGGTGAGAGATGGTGGCATAAACTATGGTAGTGTCAGTGATAGAAATGAGGCATGGGAATGAGGGAGAAAGGACAAAGCTCAGGTTTCCGTGTGAGGAAGTAAGGCCCAGGAGACATGGTTCTCTGCTTGAACAAGCATGGAAGAAATTTATTTTTGGCACTGACCCCTTTGTATGTTGTCCTTGCAGCAGACATCCCCCCATCCCCAGGAAATATCCCTACCACTCACCCACTGATGGTACGCCATGCAGACCACAGTTCCCTGACGCTGGGCAGCGGCTCCTCTACAACACGTCTGACCCAGGGCATTGGGCGTAGTCAGAGGACCCTAAGGCAGCTGACAGCCAATACAGGCCACACCATTCATGTTCATTACCCTGGGAATCGCCAGCCCAACCCTCCTCTTATACTCCAGAGGTGAGTTATAAAGAAAAGTTTGGGGTTCACTGGGCTTCAGCATTGTCATAACCTGGGGAAACACACATGTACACTCTGGTCTCACACACACACACACACACACAATGTCTTTGTCCCATATCTTTTTTGGATTATATGTGCAGCCTTTTGTGGAATACCAAATTGTATGTTGTGTTCTTTTCACTTAAGTGTCCTCCACATACATTCAGCAGTCTTAATATTAAGCATTTCATATACCAAGCACTTAACGCTTTAGATACAGACAAGATAGGATCCCTGGGAGAAACTATTTTAGAAGTGAAAGAAAGGAATATATGAATTAATAGTTGGTATACAGAGAACTCAGTATACAACAAAGGCATTATACTCTGACACAGTACTTGGCATTGTCAGTGACAATCACTCTGAGCCAGGAACTATAGAATAATAGGTGACATCAGCCCAAATAAAATTCACTGACTACTGGCATTCTTAGAAAAGTAAGATTCATGTACAGTATGGTAAGGTCCTTAATAGTGTTATGCATTTTTAGAGGATACAGAAAGTATCTCACAGTAACAGGTTACAGGAACCCCTATGGATGTACAGTGACCATGGTACCACTCCACCACCTTACAGGTTGCTTGGTCCCTCTGCTGCTGCTGACATCCTTCAGCTGAGCAGCAGCCTTCCCCTACAAAGCCGGGGCCGGGCCCGCCTCCTGGTGGGCAATGATGACGTCCACATCATTGCCCGGTCTGATGATGAACTACTGGATGACTTTTTCCATGACCAGAGCACAGCTACCAGCCAAGCAGGTAAGTTTGTGTGGTGAGAGAAAGCTTGCAATTTCTAAGATTCTACTTTTTCCCTGCTGAGGGAAAGCAGAGCATTATCTGCCCTGCCTGGAGAAACACCATTTTGTAGGAGCCGGAACTACTCAATGACTTAGCAAAGAACAACAAAAACTATGGATACCTGTGATGTGCCAAATCTTACGATAAGACATTGGGTCCTATTAGGAAAATACTGTGTTTTTTTTTAATCCGTTGACATATGACAAAGCCAAGAATCTTACACTCCTTTGCTCTACAGGGACCCTGTCCAGCATCCCCACAGCTCTGACTCGCTGGACAGAAGAATGCAAAGTTCTTGATGCTGAGAGCATGCACGACTGTGTTTCAGGTATGTAGAACTTGGTTATCAGGTAAGCCTTCCAGAGCTGAAACACGTGCATGGAAACTTGTTTTCCTGGGTCTCTGTGGCCTCAGTCTCTGCCTGTTGGCTTCCTCTCCCACCTCCCCAGAATAGTCTCTGATCTTTGCCTCTTTGATCCAGTTGTTAAAGTGCCCATTGTCAATCACCTGGAATTCCTGAGGGATGAGGAACTGGAAGAAAGGCGGGAAAAACGCAGGAAGCAGCTGGCTGAGGAAGAAACAAAAATAACAGACAAAGGCAAAGAAGACAAGGAGAACAGGGATCAGAGTGCACAGGTGATTCCCAGGCACTAAGAGGATGCATCTTTGGCTGTATCTGCCTTAACTTTCATTTTTTACATGCACATGGCACCAAAAGTCATTGAAGAATCTTAGGATGTTCACTTTGAGCCTGAGAAATGATTCATTCCAACTTCACTGTGCACTCATGGTTTTTAGGGGAAAGAAATCAAGCCTAAAGGGAAAATTAGTTCTCTAGTATCTCATTGGGGAAAATAAGGCAAAAACCACAGGGACTCCTCACTCAACAAGTCATTATATCATAGTCTCTTCCTTCAGTGACTGCAGCTAGACAAGAATGATTATGACTAAGAACATGTTCTTGGTGATTCAGTTCCACTTCTTTCAGTAGACTACCTTATCAGATATAGAGAAGGGAGCCTTACCAGGATGGCCCCACTCTCCCATTTGAATAAGTTAGGTTTAGGTGTCAGATCAGAGAAAATGTTCCTACCCAGAACCTCACCACATGTCATTTTCTAGGGTCAATTGGCATGATTTTGTTTAGAAAGAGGCTACCTACCTTTCTCTGAACCTTCTGGTACATCAAACAGTATAACTTGAAAATACACAAAGTTAAAACTGGTGGTAGAAATATGAAGAAATTAAAAGATTTGCGTGAAAGACTTTATTTTTTATTTTTTTAAAGATTTATTTATTCATGATATAAGAGCTGGGGTACAGGTCAGAGATGCAGGGGATGAGAGGAGTCACCAGAGACAGAGTGGGGAACAGAACAGGCAGACTGACTGAAATACACTGCTGAGGGGAGCAGCAGGCGAGACAGGAAAGGCCTGCTGTGCCATGTGGATTGCTCCCTGGCCGGCCGGGGATCAAATTTGTATTGCAGAAGCTGTGGATTGCTTCCTAGTGTGGTGCTTAACCCTTTGCGCCACCAGGGAGGCCCTGAAAGACTTTATTATACCCTATTCTGCAGTTACGGTATCAGGTGGATTGAAAGTAAGGACATTGAAATGTTAAACTGAACAATAATAAGCTTGATGTAACATTTTTGTATAGAATTTTTACCTAATAAGCAGTAATGTTGTTTCAAACACAGTTTGAGATATGATGGAATTCTTCCATAGGGTCAGGACAATGTACTCTCTAAAATTTTGCCTAAAAGTCACACAGCCTGGCATATGACTGAAAAAAGCTGGAATGGACATAATGAGCCAAAGGAATATATAGACAGTTGAAGCTTTAACAAAGTTTTGCTGGTCTCACAGTTATGTTCAAGTCATATCCTATGACCAGCCCAACCCTAAAGTGATTTTTACTACCCTTTCCTCTTTCTGTTCATTCAGCCCCCTGGCAGTTTTCCCCCTTGTCCCCAAGCCATCCTTGAACATAAATACATTGGAAAACTTGGAGATGTATTTGCACACTTAAGTACTCATCATCCAGTCAAGTCATCGAACTCCTAGATGGCATGTTTGGGGGATGGTGACTTGCTATAGTTGACTTTGTAATGCTTCCAAAGTCCCACATTAGTCTGTTCCTTCTCTTTGCAGTGTACTGCATCTAAGACAAATGACTCCACTGAACAAAACCTCTCAGGTAACTCTCCTTCCTTTTCCCCCTTTTTTGCTGACTGGTTGATTCTTTCTCCTGACACTTATAAGTAGCTGGCCCAAGTAGGCTGAAGATGAACACTGGTGCTCTGTGGGATGAGGTAGTAGATTGTATAGTTTTAGGGTCATACCCCATCTTGGAGATAACTATACAGTCTACTGTCTTTCCCACGGTGGTACACTTCCCCTCCGATGTGCTCTGTTCAGGTTATCTTTCTAATTATGCTGTACTGCATCCTGGCATGAGTAGCAAGGCCATGTGTCCTATCTCCTTTGGTAGTCACCGCAGTCACCATGGTGTGGTATTTCATGAGAATGGCTAATGACAATGGTTCGCAAATGCCAGTCCTCAATGGAAATGAATGAAATAGAAGTGGTTCAATGAGTTTTACAGAAAGCTGAATTTATTCATTTTTAGAACATTTTTATATTTAGAGATTATGTCCTTCTTGGTCCTTTGGTATCAAAATATTTTTATTAAATAATATTGAGGGGCTTCTTTTCTTGCTCCACTAAAGTTGTAATCCTACATGAATCTTTTCCCCCCTTTTTATATAATTCTTACTATACTGTAGAATCTAAAAGTCTCGGAACACTGTCTTGACACATTATTTTGGAGAAGATAGTTCTGTGGGCTAAATGGTATTACCGCTCTGTATTCTATTCCTTCTTTTAATCTTAATGGTCAATCATTTTGTGATTCTAATAACTGGTCCATGTGGTATTATGTCTCCCCCACCCCTATTTCCTCAGAACTTCTACTTCCTTATGCCTTCTCTCTCCTTTGGCACTTGAGTTGAGAAATGATTGTAACAAAGCCTACACAGTATTTTTTTAAAGCAGTGAAAGAGGGTAGGTGTCCTGGTAATCTAGCAAAAAGTCTAGGAAAGGGTCCAAAAGGTAAAATGGCCTTTTGCCTGCTGCCCTTGCTAAGAGAATTCTGCTCATGCCGGGGTGAGGTAGTAAGTTGTATTGTTGAGGGGTAGGGATTTTAGGCCCCAATTAGAAGATAACTATACAACTTACTACTTTCCTTGGTGTGTGGCATATTCACAGTTAATGTTGGCACTGTTGCTTCCATCAGACATAAGCTGTAGGTATTCCTTATATATCAGAACTGGGGAGGTAGAAGGAGACAAGTGATATTTAGGGTGAGGCATGTATCATTTTTAAAGAGACTTGAACGCTTCCCTTTCCATCTGAGGCATAGAAAGGATTTAACTCTTCACTCTGCAAAGAGTTCTTAGGACTAAGATAGCACTGTGCCTTAGCCCTCATACTGAGTATACCATATCAGCCACAAACTGAACCTAGGAGCACTTGGTGCTCAGGGAGAGTCCTGCATCACTGGCTGGGTGGGGTACTCGTCAAGCCACATGTATTAATTGGGTGGCTCCCAGGGTCCTTGACTGATTGCCCCTTAACATCCCCATTATCATTCTTTCCAAAAAAGATGGAACTCCTATGCCTGACAGCTACCCAACAACCCCATCTTCAGCTGATGCAGCTACATCAGAGTCCAAGGAGACCCTTGTCACTCTGCAACCCTCACAACAGCAACCAGCTCTCCCACCCCCACCAGCCTTAGGAGAGATTCCTCAAGAGCTACAGTCCCCGGCTGGAGAAGGGGGGAGCTCTACACAGCTATTAATGCCTGTAGAGCCAGAGGAATTGGGTCCCACAAGGCCAAGTGCAGAAGCAGAAACCACTCAGATGGAGTTATCCCCAGCTCCCACTATAAGTGAGTAGAGTTTCAAGGTTTATAGGAGGGGGGTGTAGAACAGGAGGGAAAAAATGGAAGTCTTTGTAGTTTCTCTTCAATCTTCTTACTTTTAGACAAATAGTAGAAGCTCAAGTCTTCAAATAGAACCTCAGCTTGCACATTAGCTTTCTTAGCTAAAGTTGTGCTTGTTTTCTGTGTTCTTGAGTTATTATACATCTGAGTGTCTGAGGATACTAATCATAGTGCCAGCAGTATATTGAAGTAATTGCTGTCTCTAGGCTATTGTGCCAGTCTATTGTGCCAATCCTTTGAAGTAGTTGGCGTTATCTCCATGGTAGAACTGAAACCCCAAAGAGAAATAATTAGCCCATAGTCAGAAAGTGGTTGTGCTGAGTCCTAACTCTAAAGCTTGCTCTGCTTCAACAGTTCCATGGATAGCAAGCATGTGACCCCACACATAGAGCTCTCCCATCCTTGTAGGCACCATTTATCTCATGGCACCATTTCTCACTGGTTTGAAATGGGCTTCAAAATTCCTCTCAGCAGTGTTCCAACAGAGAAAATTGAAATCTGTTTGCCATTGCTGCTCTATACCATGCCACCTGTGATGTGCTATGGAGAAACCTTAAGGTGCTGGGCTTCTTTTCCATCAAGAAACCTTGTTTTTTTATATACACTGAACCAACAGGTGTATACAAATAGTGCCTCCAAGTAATCCGAAAGTGACAGAATTCCTTTCCTGGGGTACATAGGAAAGATGTTTCGTGAGCATGCCTGAAACATTATAAATGCTCAACAGATGAGAGAAAGGACCTGAACTGAGCCTTATAAAGTGGATGAGATTAAGGAGGACTATCAGGTGTGAACATGGAACTTAAGTGGAAGAAAAGTCTGATCTGACTGCCCCTAAGAAAACATCCCTATCAAAGACCTTGTCTGATGTGCTGCTACTTTTCTTAACGGCCCCCTCTTCCAGGCAGAAATCTAACCTCTCCATGTGACTTCCTCCTAGCCTCTCTTTCCCCAGAGAGAGCTGAAGATTCTGATGCACTGACAGCTGTCAGCAGTCAACTAGAAGGCTCTCCCATGGATACCAGCAGCCTGGCTTCTTGTACCCTTGAGGAGGCTGTGGGTGACCCTTCAGCAGCTGGCAATTCTGATCAACCCGCAGCAGGCAGCTCCACTCCTGGGGATACCCCGCCAGTTGTAGCAGAAGTACAAGGCAGGGGTGACGGGACAGGGGAACCTGTGCAGCCCCCTGAGGATGGGTAAGCATTGTGTGGGCAAAGAAGAGGGCAGGATGTTTTGGCGGGTATTTCAAGAGACAGTCATACTGGTTAACTAGTGTATGTGCTTGGCACACTGGGGAAGTCAACCTGGCTTCCATGGGAAAGGGGTGTCATAAATTGGAAAACATAATACAGATAACAACGTGAAAATTACTCCCTTCAGCTCTCCTCCTGCGTCTTCGGAGAGTTCTTCCACCAGAGATTCTGCTGTTGCCATTTCTGGAGCAGATTCCCGGGGAATCCTAGAAGAGCCACTGCCTTCAACTAGCAGTGAAGAAGAAGATCCCCTTGCAGGTGAGCTCCGTGTGTGGTCAGGCCATCCTGGGGTTGTTTGAATTTCTAGTAGCCCTAGTGGTGAAATGCCCACCAGTCAAACAGTTCCATCTGGATGAAGAATACTATGTAAATTTGGAGGGCAAGCAGTCAAGGGGATGTTGGTGCTGCATAGTGAAGTAAGTCTAGACTTTGTGTCAAACTGATCTTAATTCAAATCCCCCCCTTGCCACTTCCTAGGCCTTTTAGGACCTGAGGGACTTAACTTTACTTCTCTGGTCCTCATTGATAATGGGCAGTGGAGGTTATAATAGCTACATGGTAGGGTCTTTTTTTATTTTAAGATTTTATTTTTTCATATTCTGCAGGCCAGAGGTGCAGGGGGGTGAGAGGCTTCACCAGAGACAGAATGGGGAGCAAGCAGAATAGGCAGATCTACTCAAATACATTGCTAAGGGGAGCAGCAGGCGAAACAGGAAAGGTCTACTGCACCATGTGGGTTAGCTCCTGGGCGGGGATTGAACTCAGTCCATCTCAATAGGCTGTCGAGGTAGTAGTGCTGAGACTTAACCCCTAGGCCACCAGGGAGGCCCATAGCTACATGGTAGGATCTTGATGAAGGTTAAATGGCGTTATACACACAGAACCTGGCACATGAGCTGTTCTAAGCCTTGAAAAGGGAGGTGGGTCCTCTCTGCATGTCCTTTGTCCTTTGCATGCAGTGAGGACAAATGAAGTCAGTTTCCCTCAAGCAAGGCCATGAATCTCTTTCCTCCAGGTACATCTTAGGTATCAGTAGAGGTGTGTGCCCCTTAACACCTTACATCTCCCCTTAGGCATCAGCCTCCCTGAAGGTGTGGACCCCTCTTTCCTGGCTGCTCTGCCAGATGACATCCGCCGGGAAGTTCTGCAGAACCAGCTGGGCATACGTCCACCAGCCCGGACTGCCCCCTCAACAAATAGCTCAGCCCCTGCAGTGGTTGGGAATCCTGGAGTAACAGAAGTGAGCCCTGAATTTCTGGCTGCCCTGCCTCCAGCCATCCAGGAGGAAGTATGTGAGCCAGGAGTTGGGGGTGGGGGGCGATAGGCTGCCTGGTGTGGGTATGCCCCCATTGACCCCTCTGCTCCATAGGTGCTGGCACAACAGAGAGCAGAGCAACAGCGACGGGAACTGGCACAAAATGCCAACTCAGACACCCCCATGGACCCTGTGACCTTTATTCAGACTCTGCCCTCAGACCTGCGCCGTAGTGTCCTAGAAGACATGGAGGACAGTGTTTTGGCCGTGATGCCCCCTGACATTGCTGCTGAGGCTCAAGCCCTGAGGCGAGAACAGGAAGCAAGGCAGCGGCAGCTCATGCATGAACGACTCTTTGGACACAGCAGCACCTCTGCACTCTCAGCCATTCTCCGAAGCCCAGGTACAGAGAGAGGAGGCAAGCGGGAAGACTCTACAATATCTAGCTTTGATCAGATGAGGCTCTGTTGTTTCTCTTTGGTAGATTAACTAGCTCATTACCCCTTCCCCGATTCCAGATTCTTTACTTTTTCCTTCCAGCTTTCACTAGTCGCCTGAGTGGCAACCGTGGGGTCCAATACACTCGCCTTGCTGTTCAGAGAGGTGGCACCTTCCAGATGGGGGGTAGCAGCAGTCATAACAGGTACCTTTATCTTTTTTCAACTTGCCATACCACCTCTATTTCTGCTAATCCAAACCCCCTCATTTCTAAGTGGAGAGGCTGAATGACGTCACCTGGATATTTCCTTGAATTATAGTGGGGCAACTGTATCTTTGGACTCCCCCTTCAGAAAATCACACTTTTGGGTTGGTGTAGCTACTGTAGACCCTAAGCATGAAATAAGGCAGGCAGCAGGCAGGCACTAGCTGTGGTTTTAACAAGGAGGAAAGTCACCCTGCCTCCCAAGCAAATAGGAAAACAGTGAGCCACTTGCTTTGAGATTGTAGTGTCTAGGCTGAGGAAATAGAGAGGAGTTCATTATTAATCATGCTGAAGCAGAGTGGATGCAAAATGCCAAAATGGGAAGGGGATGCTCAGTTCCTGTACAACAGGCAACCTCCTGGTAGTCTAGAGAAGACAGAAATAAGTTTTATCTCCTAGACTTCAGGTGCAGTCCCTTTTTACTAATTGATGATACAGTACTGGGCTGGACCCTCTCTTTGCTTCTCACTTTCAACCTGTTTGAGCCTTGTGTTCATTGTCTCAAAAATGGGCAATTCTCTAGTCTTAAGCCCATTGATCTTACAACCATTGTAGAATGCCTGATACATAGTAGGCATTCAAGAGGACAGCTTTTGTTACTATTAATAGCCCTTAAATTGGACACCCTCCCTTCTCCTTAGAGGCCTCCTTGGAGGTATCCAGCACATTCCTCTCCCCGAGGCCTGTGTGTGATCCCAGACCCCTGGCTGAGGTATTACCCAGGAACTATTCTCTTTTCCAGACCTTCTGGCAGTAATGTGGACACTCTGCTCCGCCTTCGAGGACGCCTCCTCCTGGACCATGAAGCCCTATCTTGTCTCCTGGTACTACTGTTTGTGGATGAGCCAAAGCTCAATACTAGCCGTCTACACCGAGTACTGAGAAATCTCTGCTACCATGCCCAGACCCGCCACTGGGTCATCCGTAGCCTGCTATCCATCTTGCAGCGCAGCAGTGAAAGTGAGCTGTGTATCGAGACACCCAAGCTTGCGTCAAGTGAGGAAAAGGGCAAAAAATCAAGCAAGAGCTGTGGGTCAAGCAGCCATGAAAACCGGCCCCTGGACCTGCTACACAAAATGGAGTCTAAGAGCTCCAACCAGCTTTCCTGGCTCTCAGTATCCATGGATGCAGCCCTAGGCTGCAGGACTAACATATTCCAGATCCAGCGTTCAGGGGGGCGCAAACATACTGAGAAGCATGCAAGCAGTGGCTCCACTGTCCACATCCATCCCCAGGCTGCTCCTGTTGTCTGCAGACATGTTCTAGACACACTCATTCAATTGGCAAAGGTGAGAAACTTGAAGGAACCCAATTCCAGGAAATGGGAGAGGGGTGACAGGTGAAATCTGAATGCAATGGAAGCTAGCAAACCTTACTTTGCTGCTAGTGCTGAACCCTGTATTATTTCCAAGAAATTGTCCAATAAATAACTCTGTGGGCTTTTTATCTTCACTCCTTACAGTTTTTATGCATTATATTATTCAGTCATCAAAACAGCCCTCCTTGGTTTGTGTGATTCCCATTTTACAGATGAAGAAGCTGGAATACAGAAAATTAGTGTGACTGTCGAGTGATTAGCTCAGTGTTCTTTTAAATAAGCATTCCTGCCATCTGTTAATGATAGGTACTGTGTGCCATATGTCGGGCACAATGCAAAATACATTAACTTCTTTAATGACAATTTTACAAGGCAGTGTAAGTGTTTGCCCCAGTTGATAAGTAAGGAGACCAGGACTCAAAAGTTTGCTAATCATGCGTCTCCTACAATACCCTTGTTTCTTTCTTTAGGCTGCTTTGCTGTTAAGATAAAACTCAGTTTTATCTGTTAAGATAAAACTCTTGTATGACTTGTCTCCTATGGTACCAGAGAAGAGGAGAGTCTAGGAACCAGTTGTCTTTCCTTGTCAGGAAGACCTGTTTTGTCTATAGACCCCCTAAACCGAGCCTGTCCTTTTCCCGTCAGGTGTTTCCCAGCCACTTTACACAGCAGCGGACCAAAGAAATTAACTGTGAGAGTGATCGGGAGAGGGGCAATAAGCAGGCCTGCAGCCCATGCTCTTCTCAGTCCACCAGCAGTGGCATTTGCACAGACTTCTGGGACTTACTGGTAAAACTGGACAACATGAATGTCAGCCGGAAAGGCAAGAACTCCGTGAAGTCAGTGCCAGTGAGCGCTGGTGGTGAGGGGGAAACCTCCCCATACAGCTTGGAGGCCTCTCCACTGGGGCAGCTCATGAACATGTTGTCACACCCAGTCATCCGCCGGAGCTCTCTCTTAACTGAGAAACTCCTCAGACTCCTTTCTCTCATCTCAATTGCTCTCCCAGAAAACAAAGTGACAGAAGCACAGACTAATTCTGGCAGCAGTGCTTCCTCTACCACTGTTGCCACCTCTACCACATCTACCACCACTACCACTGCCACCTCCACCACACCCACTCCCCCTACTGCATCCACCCCTGTCAGTTCTACTCCGGCCCTGGTTGTTGCCACAGCTATATCCACCATTACCGTAGCTGCTTCGACCACCGTGACTACCCCCACAACTGCTACCACTACTGTTTCAAGTAAGTGTGGATGTAGGCTGGGAGCTGTGGGGTACATAAACCTACCTAACCTCCCCCTGCCCGCCCCTGCCAGCCATTTCTCCCTAAATGATACCCATCCACTTGATTTGAGTTGGTGAGAACCAAAAGTGTTCATTCTTACCCTCATCAGTCTCAGTCCTCTCTTCCTATTTTCTCCTCCCCTCCCTCTTTCTCTCATACAAACAGACCAGATACCCCTGTGAAGACCAGCAAGCATTCCCTAAATGTGACCTCCCTAAGCTAAGCACCAAAAGGAGGGGAGAGAAAATTCTTCTTCAGTGAACTCTCAGGCTTTACAACCTGGTTGAGTTCCAGGCTCTGCAGTTTTGAGGGTGCAAGAATTTTAAAACCACTTGAAATCATCTAGTTTCCATCTTTCTTATTTTACCAAGAGAACTAAAACCCATGGGTGATAAAAGTTATTGAAACAGAGGGCAAATACAATATGAATCATGGTAGAATAGTGTTGGGTAGGGCCTCCCTGGTGGCGCATGGGGTTAACCACAGCATTATGAAACAATCTGCAGCCTCTGAAGCATGAGTTCAATCCCTGGCCGGCCAGGGAGCTACCCACATGGTGCAGCAGACCTTTCCTGTCTCACCCGCTGCTCCCCTCAGCAGTGTATTTCAGTCAGTCTGTGTGTTCTGTTCCCCACTCTGTCTCTGATGAATCCTGTCACCCCTCAAATCTCTGGCCTGTACCCCAGCTCTTGTATGCATAAATAAATCTTTTTTTAAAAAGTGTTGGGTAATCCCACAAAGTGAAGTGAATAAACCCTGTAGCAGACGAATAGGTATTATTTGAAGGATGAAGCGGGAGCTCTGACTGTAAGAGAGAACAATGTGTGGAATTCTTTGTCACTTTAAAAGGTACACTCAAGTCCTTGGCATCCTAAGTCATTTGGATTTGGCTTTTGTCGGTGGATTTTTTTATTTTAACTTCTTAACCCCATCTTGAAACCCTAGACAGCTCAGTGATTCCTCAGTTCTTCCACTTAAGTCTCTGGCATGTGAGTTTCAGAGATTTAACAATGTTCCTTCTGTTTCTCAAAGCGTCTACTACTACTAAGGCCAACAAATCTCCAGCAAAGGTGGGTGATGGGAGCAGCAGCAGCACAGACTTTAAGATGGTGTCCTCTGGCCTCACTGAAAACCAGCTACAGCTTTCTGTGGAGGTGAGTCAAAGTTCTTCTGACCTACCAAGGTTAGGGGGGAAAGGGTAAACAGAAGATGATGTTTTCATTCTCAAATTGGGACTTATTCCTCCCTTCATTTCCCCAGGTGTTGACATCCCACTCTTGTTCTGAAGAAGGACTAGAGGATGCTGCCAATGTGTTACTACAGCTCTCTCGTGGAGACCCTGGGACTCGGGACACTGTTCTTAAGCTGCTTCTGAATGGAGCCCGCCATCTCGGTTATACCCTTTGTAAACAGATAGGTAATAAAAGCAGTAAAGCATCCTATCTTTCTGACAACTTCCAGTTAGGTGTCACCTCTTTCTAGAAACTGTCCCTGAATCCTCCAGACTGAATCATATGCCTCTGTTTCTATAGCATAGCCCCCATGCCCTCTTCTTTCATAGCACTGGTAGTGCTGAGTTGGGTGATATTAGTCCATGATTAAGATCGATAAGCAATCTGGGAGAAAGGTTAAGCAGTAACACCTGAGATCATCAGAAAACCTCAGAAGTTCAAGAGGTATACAGGCTCCAAAACACATACTCTTTCCTCTCACCTACATGTCATATAGAGGCAACATGCTCTTTAGGCCAGGTGAATAGATGGTTCCTAGGTGGATGATCCATGGGCATACATAGTAAGATGAACAAAGCAAAAGTCCTTTCACTCCAGGTTCTGTGCAGCTGGGCAAAGAGGATTACCTGGGCAGGTTTCTTGGAAAGGTTTAGTGTGTAGCTGCTTCACTAGACACATCTCTGAACACTTAACTGGCTCCTCTGCCTGCCCAGGTACCCTTCTGGCTGAGCTACGGGAATACAACCTGGAACAGCAGCGGAGAACCCAGTGTGAAACCCTGTCTCCTGATGGCCTGCCTGAGGAGCAGCCACAGACCACCAAGCTGAAAGGCAAAATGCAAAGCAGGTAGGTGGTAGCCACCCATTTGTGGGGCTGGAATCTGCGACATCTGAAAGGTAGCTCTTAACTAGTCTCCTGGTCTTTATTTTTTTTCTCTCTGGGTATATTTTCTTATTGGCCTTATGCATACTTGATCCTACTTTATCCTACTCGTGAGATTTCCTTGTGAGATTCCTTATCCCTCTGGTTGACACCAGAAAGCCCTGCTTGCTCTGGGTGTTTATGCTTTGATGCTGTCAGCATATGCAAGCCACCTCTACACTATCCAGGTTTGACATGGCTGAGAATGTGGTAATTGTGGCATCTCAGAAGCGACCTCTGGGTGGCCGGGAGCTCCAGCTGCCTTCTATGTCCATGTTGACATCCAAGACATCTACCCAGAAGTTCTTCTTGAGGGTACTACAGGTCATCATCCAGCTCCGGGACGACACACGCCGAGCTAACAAGAAAGCCAAGCAGACAGGCAGGCTAGGTATGGAACTGGAGTGTCCAGTTGAGGGGCAGGGTTGGTGGTGGAGAACCCGAGTCCCTGGAGGGCAGGATTTAATGTCCTGTCTCCTTTTGATTTAACCTTTCCAAAAGGAAATGATGGTCCTTTCTTAAAATGTTACTGATTGCATTCTGCATCTCATTCAAGCTGTCTGCATAGGAAATTCATTAGGGCAAGTGGTGGGACTTAAGGGGGAGTGGAAATCTGGCAAGGAAATTGGGGGCGGGTCTTTTGCTCAACAAGATTTAACTCACTTAGTGTGCCTCTTTTCTCTTCCTTGATCACTCTTAACTAAAACACTGCAGCCATGTTGCCTTAGCCATGGCCTACCAAACCCTACCTCTCTTTCCTCCTGCCCACAAAACCCTCTCACCTGCCAACATGTTTACCTAGCACCATATCCCCTTCCCTCATCTGTAACAGTAGACCTTAGTGTCTGATGATGAGCGCTCTGAAGTTGCTTGAGCTAAAGCTCAAAGACCTCAGCAGGATGCCCTTCTGGCAGCCCAGGAGGTGGGAGAGAGACTATTGGCCATTCCCTCCTTCTACATTTTATATCTTGCCTTCTTTTTTCTATCTCCCAGGTTCCTCCGGTTTAGGCTCAGCTAGCAGCATCCAGGCAGCTGTTCGGCAGCTGGAGGCTGAGGCTGATGCCATTATACAAATGGTACGTGAGGGTCAAAGGGCGCGGAGACAGCAACAAGCAGCAACGGTTAGCATGATGCCTGTGGCCCCTCATTCATTTGTCTCTCCCCCTCCCCCCACCACATCATCAGTGGGGTTTCACTGTCCTTGTATGCTTTTGCATTAAGTTTGCTATGAATGCTTCTGAACAATAGGGTTAATTTCTATTGGTGTTTTCTTTGTTCATTTGTTTGTTGGTTTGGTTTGATTTAAAGCTTGGCTATCATACCCCACCCCCAGCTATCCAGTCAATAATGGCGCTTTTGCATATTGCATAATGCTAAGTGTGGGTTCTGAGGGAGGTGTGGGATGGTTTTTTTCATTCTTATGGATCAGTGCAAGTACATCAGAGATAACTCAGGAATCCTGACCTTGAAATTCCCCCAAGCTTGTTATACATCCCATTCAGCCTCTTCTGTCCATGATTGGGCCCTCCACCCTGACCTCTGCCTCTGTTCTCCATACTTGGCACGTAGGCACTCAGACACTTTCAGGAGGAAATCTTCAGGTTCCTAGGTAGTGAGTTCATTGTTGGGATCCTAGCACAAAATGGCTGCAGGAAAAGCCTGGCATCATGTATGTATGCTGTGGCGTCCTCTCATTGTTTCTGTCCTTGCAACATACAAGTCACCTTTCCAAGATCCAAGAAATTAAAGTATCCTGAGGCCTGTGCTTTTTGTATATCATTAGAGTTGTACAGTTTAGGCATGCTGACAATTTAAGGACTATGACTGCCATCAGTGAAGCAAGGGAAAATAGCTGTTATCCTCCCAGTCTCGTTTCATACCTGATGAGGCAAGTGTTAGCTTTTTAAGTCATCCTGCCCATCAAAGTTACACTATTATTTACCCTTTTGTGAGCAAACAGAAACAAAGGGCAAACTTACTCTGTGTGTGTGTGCATGTATACACATGTAGAACCTGACCCCAGAAGTCTTGAAGTCTGTATCCATCTAAGAGACTGGTATCTGACTGAATGTAGGTCTGGAGTGGAGTGGAGGCAGTGCAGGCAACAAGAAAACTGAATTGGCAAGCTCAGGGTGGAGGACTTTAGAGGAAGTAAGGAAGGATATCCTTTTGTCCTGGAGAGTTACCAAGTTCTTGATCAGATATGGAAAGATTCTAAATGTATGGTGTGTGGGAAGTGATAGGACCAGCCACTCTAGCCTGTCCCTAAGCAAAGCAGAGTTGTACCCTTTATGTGACTTTGTTTCCCTTTTATCCAGTCGGAGTCAAACCAGTCAGAGGCATCTGTTCGGAGGGAGGAGTCACCCATGGATGTGGACCAGCCATCTCCCAGTACTCAGGATACTCAGTCCATTGGTCAGTACTACTTCCCATTTCTAGCCCAGCAAAAGATCCATGAAATGTCTGCTAGGTCTTTTGCTTTCGACAAACATAAGCTCAGTATTTTCCAGTTCTTTCCAGCAAACACTGTTTTCTATAAAACGTTCATAGGTATTTACCAACCAACCAAGATCATCAACCAGCACCATTTCATCCTCACTGAAGATTAGAAGCACAAGCTGTGATTCCTGTAGTAAAGAAACTATGCTATGATATTATATAGAGATGGCATGTGCTTAAGTCTTTGCTCCCCCACTTGCTGACTCGGGCCTAAGACAAACCTCTCTTTGCTTCAGTTTTCTCATTTAAAATGGGCATGTTAGGGCCTCCCTGGTGGCTCAAGGGGTTAAGCGTCAGCACTGTGAAGCAATCCGCAGCTACTGCAGCATGAGTTTGATCCCCCGGCCAGGGAGGTGACCCACATAGCACAGCAGACCTCTCCTTTTCACCCCCGCTGCTCTGCTCAGCAGTGTACTTCAGTCAGTCTGCCTGTTCTGTGCCCCACTCTGTCTCTGGTAAATTGTCCCCCCCATCCCCCACACCTCTGGCCTGTACCCCAGTTCTTATATGCATAAACTCATATGAGTGGCACCCCACTAAATTGGTAATTGCTCTGTAGTGATTATGAAGCCACCTAGAGTAGATCAGAAGTTCATGATACCAAGTATCGTAGAAGCCAACAAGACAATAGACCTAGTGGAGCAATTTAATGTTTCTGAACTCCGGAAGTTGATCTCTACAACTCCTACCCACCCCTCGTGGTGTGTGCTTGCCATCCATGTAATCACATAGGAAGCCAGAGAGGCTGAGACTCTCCCTGCTCCTCAATCACCATATTCTTTTTGCTCTCACCCTAACCCCTTGGATTAAACGAGTTAACAAGTATGTTTAACACTTAGAGCAGTACCTGGCACATGATGGATGCTATTAGCATTTTTCAAAATTAATTGCATGCACATTTTTGGCACCCTTTTATTTATTTTTTTAAGATTTATTTATGCATACAAGAATTGGGGTACAGGCCAGAGGTGTGGGGGGTGAGAGGATTCACCAGAGACAAAGTGGGGAACAGAACAGGCAGACTGACTGAAATATGCTGTTGAGGGGAGCAGTGGGCGAGTCAGGAGAGGTCTGCTGTGCCATGTGGGTATCTCCCTGGCCAGGGATCAAACTTGTGTTGCAATGGCTGCGGACAGCCTCATAGGTTGCATCTTAACCCCTTGCACCACCAGGGAGGCCCTTTGGCACCTTTTTAACAGTTTCATATGTGCTAATGTTGTCATAGGACATCTGTTTTTTGAAATAAGCCCCCAATGTAGGTATCAGCCATGGAGATCCATGTCACACCATGGCGTCTCAGAGTTTTAAAGATTGAAAAGGTAACATACTTTGAGTGAGAAAGAACTAGTTTTAAGTCCTGATCTTAGCCTTGGAAAAAAATGTAGGGAGACAGCAGCCTGCTTCTAAAGCCTGCTGTCAAGATTAGGTGAGGATAATGTCCTAGAATATACTTTGTTAACTGAAAGGCAACTATCCAAAGTTTCACCCCTATTGCACATTACTCTTAGGTTATCCACAAGTTCTTTGAGAGTTTTGAGGCCGTGATTAGCCAAGTGCTGTCCAGTAGAACTGCAGTAGCCACTAGCCACATATGACTGTTGAGCATTTAAAATGTGGCTAGGGCAAGTGATGAACCAAATTTTTTTGTGTGTTGATTTTTATTTTAATTTCAATTTAAATGACATCCAGTATACAGCTAGAGCTTCCATTCAGATGTTGCTCAGTATTATTCAGTGGGTGGCGAGTGTGCCAATCTGTTTGATCTGAGAGAGAAAAGCTTAGGTGGCTATGACTCCTTTGTGTGCCCAATAGGCTCAGATGAAACCCCACAAGGGGAGAAGGAGAAGGAAAAGGAAAAGGAAGAAAGGCCACCTGAGTTACCTCTACTCAGTGAGCAGCTGAGCTTGGATGAGTTGTGGGACATGCTGGGAGAGTGTCTGAAGGAACTGGAAGAATCCCATGACCAGCATGCGGTGCTAGGTGAGCTGTGATCTGAGGGTCCAGGTCCCAGCCCTCAGGTCACTTCTGCCCACCTAATTTTCTTCCTTCCAAGTTACCTTTCTCCCTCAGTGTCTCTGTAATGAGAATTCAAAGGGGAGAGGGTTTTTTTCCTCTGACTCAGGTGTCAGAAAAATGATTTGTTTTCTGTTAATAATTGATACCCTTTAATTTTAGACCAGTAGAATCTTGATAACTGGTTGTCTATCCCACTTTGGGCCTTTAATTCTTTGGTTTCAGGGAAGCTCTGATTTTCTTTGTGACTTCATTTTTCTAGTCTGCCATTACATTTCTCCTATATGTTTTTGTTATTTTTCTGTATTATACTTTCGTGATTTGATTACAAAGGAGAAACAATTTGTAAAGTAAAATGCCATTTCTTCCCATTCCTACCATCAGTGCTACAGCCTGCCGTTGAGGCCTTCTTTCTGGTCCATGCCACAGAGCGGGAAAGCAAGCCTCCTGTCCGAGACACTCGTGAGAGCCAGCTGGCACACATCAAGGACGAGCCTCCTCCACTATCCCCTGCTCCCTTAACCCCAGCCACCCCTTCCTCCCTTGACCCATTCTTCTCCCGGGAGCCCTCTTCTATGCACATCTCCTCAAGCCTACCCCCTGACACACAGAAGTTTCTTCGCTTTGCAGGTACGGGGAACTTTTAGGCACCCCCCAAAAAAGAGAGTTGCTGGCTGGTTGGCTGTCATCCAGTCCTTGGGGACCCGTGATGTGCTGATTCCTACTGTCCTTTCTCCCCTTAGAGACTCACCGCACTGTGCTAAACCAGATTCTACGGCAGTCCACCACCCACCTCGCTGATGGGCCTTTTGCTGTCCTTGTAGACTATATTCGTGTCCTCGACTTTGATGTCAAGCGCAAGTATGTGCCCTGGGTACTGGCAGGAGTACAGAAACTCTCAAAATAGTATCTCCCCTCCCAGAAAGGAGCCAGAGTTTCTCTCCTGGCATATCATTGTCCGGGAAAGAAGTTTCCCTTGGTGGTAGCCCTTATGCTCGTACTGGGCATGTGGAAAGAGAGTCACCTGTGCCACTGACAGCTGTTTTACCTAAATATACTTCCTGGCCTTTTTCATCCCAGTCTCCATTCTTTGGAGTAATATAGGAGATGCGAGTTAACATAGTACACTTACAGCAGGGCTGGGGCATTCCATAACACTCCTTTCATCCCTACCTCTCTCTTCTTTCTTGTCCATATACACATGCTTACCTGCTTGTTGTGGAAATCCCACACCATAATCTCCATAGGCCTTTATTCAGTGAAGATTGGGGAAATTGCTAGTGAGTGACCTACCTCTCCCAACTACTGGGTATTTCCCCAGGTAGGAAGCAGCATTGTGGGTCTTCATCCTAATCAGGCAAGCATAAGTTTGCTCTGTCATCCCCAATCCTATCTTTCTTTCTTTCCTACCTCCCAAGGTATTTCCGCCAAGAGCTAGAGCGTTTGGATGAGGGACTCCGGAAGGAAGACATGGCTGTGCATGTCCGCCGTGACCATGTGTTTGAAGACTCCTATCGTGAGCTGCACCGGAAATCCCCTGAAGAAATGAAGAATCGATTGTAAGAGTCCAGAGCAGAGAAAAAACAGGATGGGGGTGGGGTTGTTGTCTTCTCTGCCTGGTCTTTTTGAGAGTGGTCATCTGCCTTACTGGGTGATCCTTGGGCTGAGCTATCCAACAGTTCCCAGAGACAGAAGAGTCTTTGGCGTTTACAAAGGTACACCTGATGACTTCGCAGGAGCTATCCCCATTGTTACACAAGGAACAGGAAGCCTGCTGAGCAAATGGTACCCTGGGTTAGGGGAGACTACACTCGTGTGAGTGGCCCCCCATTAAATTGGTAATTGCTCACTAGTGATTATGAAGCAACCTAGAGTAGATCAGAAGTTCATGATATCAAGTATCATAGAAGCCAACAAGACAGTAGACCTAGTGGAGCAATTTAATGTTCCTGAACTCCAGAAGTTGATCTCTACAACTCCCACCCAACCCTCGTGGTGTGGGCTTGCCATCCATGTAATCACACAGGAAGCCAGAGAGGCTGAGACTAGCCCTGCTCCTCAATCACCATATTCTTTTTGCTCTCACCCCATGGACTGCAACTACTACTTTAGTCACTTACTCTTGGGGTCATGCTGCATAAATGAATGAACTTCTCCTGGCTTTTTTGCATATCACGGTTTCTGTTTTCTTACATAGGTACATAGTGTTTGAAGGAGAAGAAGGGCAGGACGCTGGAGGGCTCCTGCGGGAGTGGTATATGATCATCTCGCGAGAGATGTTTAATCCTATGTATGCCTTGTTCCGTACCTCACCCGGTGATCGGGTCACCTACACTATTAATCCATCTTCCCACTGCAACCCCAACCACCTCAGCTACTTCAAGTTTGTCGGACGCATTGTGGCCAAAGCTGTTTATGACAACCGCCTCCTGGAGTGCTATTTTACTCGGTCCTTTTACAAACACATCTTGGGCAAGTCTGTCAGGTGAAGATATGGTACAGGACCTGGGAATTGGTTCATATTTCTAGATCGCGTCCCAATGCTGCCTCTCCCCTACCCCAACCCCTGAGCCTTTCTAATTGTGCTTTTCCAGATATACGGATATGGAGAGTGAAGATTACCACTTCTACCAGGGCCTGGTTTATCTGCTGGAAAATGATGTCTCCACTCTAGGCTATGACCTCACTTTCAGCACTGAGGTAGGTCAGGAATCCTCATCGCAGCACATCCCAGCTAGTCTAGGAAACCCATTTCAGATACCTTGCAACTGTCATTGGATAATCTCTCATGGTTCTAAGGAAGCATCTCAACTTGCCCCGTACCCCAGTCCCCGTCTGCCAGAGAGAATGGATATTTTTTTAAGATGTCACATAGAGGGCCTGCCCTGGTGGCGCAGCTGACAGACCTCTCCTGCCGCGCCCGTTGCTCCCCTCAGCAGTGTATTTCATCGGTCTGCCTGTTCTGTTCCCCGCTCTGGCTCTGGTGAATTCTCTCACCCTCCTGCGCTTCTGACTGTACACAGTGCTTGTATAAATAAATAAATAAATCTCTTTAAAAAAAAAAAAAAAAAAATGTCACATCGAAAAACCAGAATTTGTAGAAACAGTCCAAGCTGTTTCTTAGTTCACCCTTTTTAAAAGAAAAAAATGTTCTAGTACAATGATTTTCATTCTCAAAGGTGGAAAAATTGTATGACTACAGATAAGTGTTTTTTTTTTAAGGGCATTGTACCCCAAATCTTTTTCTGTGAAAATTGTGTTATGTTACATTATGTATGTTAGCTAAGCCCTTTTCTCTTGTACCGTTGTTTCCTTACTTTCATATGTTTCAGGGCCAAATCCTCTGTCTTTACCTATTAGGGAATTATGAGCCAATGAGAAAAGTCATTTTTTATGACCTTGCTTTGTCTTTTTGCTGAGAACACAAAGAATTTAGCGTGTGTTCCAAGGTGCCTGTGTTAGCCCTAGTCTAGACTAAGTTTGATATATGTTATTGGTGTTTTGCGTGTTCTAGGTCCAAGAGTTTGGAGTCTGTGAAGTTCGCGATCTCAAACCCAATGGGGCCAACATCTTGGTAACAGAGGAGAATAAGAAGGAGTATGTACACCTGGTGTGCCAGATGAGAATGACAGGTAGGTGAAATGACCCTTGCTTAATACAAGGTCAAACCGCACTCATTTCGCAGATGATGTTTCTTCTCTTCCCCTATGCAAGCTACAAATGCTTCGCACAAAGGGGTCCAAAAACCTGGCCAAAAATAATTTCCCTTTATCCACCCTTATACAGGGGGGCCTAGTGGTAGGTGAGTGGTGGATGAGGGAGGCAGGCCAGGCAGCATCATAGCAGTCACAGGAACCAGATTGGGGACCTCTGACAGATGTGTGAGTTCAGAAGCCACTTGACTTCTTGGTTCTCTCCACAGGAGCCATCCGCAAACAACTGGCAGCTTTCTTAGAAGGCTTCTATGAGATCATTCCAAAGCGCCTCATTTCCATCTTCACTGAGCAAGAGTTAGAGCTGCTCATATCAGGATTGCCCACAATCGACATTGATGATTTAAAATCCAACACTGAATACCACAAATACCAGTCCAACTCTATTCAGGTGAGCTGCTGCCAACATCCCTCCCCATAGACCTAAACAGTGCTAGTTAGTATGACATCAGATGAACTGCTACTCTTGGGAGAAGAAACATATGGATGACAGCTACATCCAACTCTATATTCTTACTCATCTTTTAAATGGAGGAACCAAGGCTCATCTCTAGAAGGGGCTTGCCCAATATTCTAAGTCCATTCTATTTCCCAAATTTCATTCCCCCTGCCTTCCAGGTGCTCTCTACCTAATTCTGGCTTCTTATGTCTCATCTTACAGATCCAGTGGTTCTGGAGAGCATTGCGTTCTTTCGATCAAGCTGACCGTGCCAAGTTCCTCCAGTTTGTCACAGGTACTTCCAAGGTGCCCCTGCAAGGGTTTGCTGCCCTTGAAGGCATGAATGGCATTCAGAAGTTTCAGATCCATCGAGATGACAGGTCTACTGATCGCCTGCCTTCAGCTCACACGTGGTAAGAAGAAAGGTGGTTCTCTTTTTCAGTTTTTGTATTGGGCTTGGGGTAGCTCACAACATGGTGGTCCTATGGGAGGTAATGTTTTTGATCTGGCCCAGACTCAAAATGGGACTAGGAGACATTGCAGGTGAGCACCACCCTGTGAGAGCAGTGTGTTCCAAGGCTTGGCATGACTGAAGTAAGGAATTTTCAGGAAGCAGGATGTTCAGAAAACAATTCTAGAGGTCAGATCACCAGTGGCCCCTCATGCCTCCTTGGAACTTGTGACTTAGCTCATAGGCATCAGATTTATGTTTTGGGGGCCTACTAGCCAGTATTGGAGCCAGATTAGAATAGGTCAGACCAGGCTAAGACAAGATTGGGAATAGTTGGTTCCCTCAGGGAGGAGAAACCAAGTGGACACCATGGGAGAACAGGGATTTGGTTATCTTTTGTCAGGAATTGATCTTTCTTCTTTCCATAGTTTTAATCAGCTGGACCTACCTGCCTATGAGAGCTTTGAGAAGCTCCGCCACATGCTACTATTGGCCATCCAGGAGTGCTCTGAAGGCTTTGGGCTGGCCTAATAGAACCCCACCCATCATTGTGGGGTGTTTCTACCATTGTTGGACCTGGGAAGGGGGGAAATTAAAACAATAAAACAACAGAAAGAAAATGTCAAAAACCAATAAATGAAATCCACCAACTCACCGTGTGTGTTTCCCAGCTGCCCCAGCGCATACCTGTTCCCCCTTTCCTGTTCATTCTCTCTCTCCTCCCCTTTTCTTCACCTCTTCTCGTTCCATGCCGTCCATGATCCCTACCCCGTGTGTTAAAAAGGCAGTAGCCTTGCAGGGACCTGTTTGTCCCAACTGTTTGAACAGTGTGCTCCTCAGATTCTGTGTTCAGAAGGATTTGCTGCATTGAGACTTGAAACCTTTGGATAGGGGAAAAAATTATATATATATATATTTTTTTGTTCTGTTTGCATTTCTTAATTTGTGCTTGGAATGTGTTGATGTGCACAGCTAATGATTCAATGCGAGACAAGATTGGCGTCTGTGTTGTGGAGGTTTCAAATAAAGAGCACTCTTCATAACTCACTTTTCACAATGGAGTTTTTTTCAAACTTAACACTTGTGCACATGCTAGATATCTGGAGAGTAGATCGAAGTGAACTCTCCAAGAAACCATCTCTGCCACCACCGCTGGTGCATCCTCCTTCAAAGTTGACTTCCCAGAGTCGAGACAGCAGCCATTACGAATGGGGGAGGGGCTCTTTTTTAGAATGGAATCTCTCCTTGGGTGTTATGATAGTATTAGAGCTTACAGCCAATGATAAAGCATCACCTTGCTTGAGGAGAACAAACCAGCTAGTTGTAAAAAATGTTGTGGAAACTCACTAAAACCGGTAGTGAGCCATTGTAACAATCTCAAGCCTGGGGCTTAGTTTAAAATTTTAATTTCATGTTTTAAGTCATTTCTAACTCATTTTAAAAAGCAAACAATTTGACTAGCTCTCCAGAACTGTCTTGTCCTTGTTTTTGTTTTGTCTTTCCCTCTTGTCATCTGCCTGTCTGCCAGTCTGTTCACAGATCACCTATTAGTCTCTTGTGGTTTTTATTCCATCCAGCATTAAAACTAGGTTTCAACTTTCAAAGAAAAAAAAAGTCATTTAATAAAAGTTTAGTTAGAAAAAGAACTCCAAGTGGTGCTTGCTTTTTGTGGTTTTTCCTCATTCTCTGAGAAGATTTTTCCTCTTGACCATGCAGATCTAGGAAAATCAGTGATATGTCCACAACTTGGTATTTTGGCCCTGATGCAAGTGGCTGATAGACATTTCCCTCACTTTTCACTATTCACACTTGTCTGTGCCTGGACCTGCTGATGATTAAGAAGAGAAGTTGTTTTTGTTGTTTTTGTGTAGGAGAACTGGGGTGTAGACCAGAGGTGTGGGGGTTGAAAGGACAGAGTGGAGAGCAGAACAGACAGGTTTACTGAAATACACTGCTAAGGGGAGTAGCAGGCAAGACAGGAGAGGTCATCTCTGCCATATGTGGGTTAGTTCCCTGGCCGGGGATCCAACTCGGAGCTAGCAGTGATAGAGCTGAGACTTAACTTCTAGGCCACCAGGGAGGCCCCTGAGAAGGCAAGTTGAATCTACCCTCTAAGTATTGAGCTTCTAGTCTAGGAAAGGACTTACCAGTTCCATGACAGATTAAAGGAAAGGGTCTCTGGATACCCAGAGCAGAAGTCCCCACCCTACCCTGGGAGATCAGAAAGGACTTTGTCAGCGACACTGAATTGAATTTAAGGCATCATGGGAACTAAGATTGAGGAGGGGACAGTAATCTAGATTGACACAGCTGAAGTCCAATTGATAAGGTTCAAGCAAAGGACTGACCTGAGGTGAGACTGGAAGTCCAGCAGAGCTTTAAAATAAAAGCTTTAAAAATTGATCAATAAACTTAAAAACTGTCTCTAAAAGATGAAAGTGAAATGAGATTCTGGCAGCTGCATTTGGGGTGCATTTACAAGGGGTGCACACTGGGAGTGCAGATTTAATAACCTTGAAAATAAAAGATCTAATTTAGTGGCAGGTTATAAAAAGGTAATGTGACTAAGTATGATTTGCCTTTCAAATATACTGGCTGCAAGACATTTGCTAACAATAACTTAAAGGTGGCCTTAGACCAACAACCAGCCTAACAATGAAAGTATGAAATTGCCAATTAACCACCATTAACGCCATTCTGCCAATTCTAACCACTTAAGTAAAGCAGTAAACAAGGTATAGCTGCTGAAGAGAAACTTTGCTAAATCAAGAGAATCGAAAGTCCTAGAACTTAACACTGAATCTAGCGAGAGGCATGGCTATAAAGGAACAAAATACTCAAACATTTATTGTCCGACAAGTATAAATTTATACACTGTAATCTCATACAGCATACAAATCCATTGTATTTATCAACATGCACAACGTCAATGATAAGCAAAAAGTGTAAGACCTGTTTAAAAGTTCTGAAACTGGGGCCTCCCTGGTGTCGCAAGGGGTTAAGACGCAACCTATGAAGCTGTCCGCAGCCACTGCAGCACAAGTTCGATCCCCCACCGGGGAGCTACCCATATGGTACAGCAGACCTCTCCTGACTTGCCCACTGCTCCCCTCAGCAGTGTGCTTCAATCTGCCTGTTCTGTTCCCCACTCTGTCTCTGGTGAATTCTCTCACCCCCGATACATCTGGCCTGTACCCCAGTTCTTGTATGCATAAATAAGTAAACCTTTAAAAAAAAATAAATGAAAGTTCTGAAGCTATGTAGAAGGACCAAGGCCATGAAAAACAGTATTGAAAGCATGAAAGCCCACACAAGTATGACAGTATTGCACGATACTGAGGATAAGTTACGAGGGGTAGAAGAGGGATGCAGTTGGGAAGAGATACCAAGGGCTTCAACTATAGGTGATGCTTTTTTTTTTTTTTCTTCAAGTGAGATCTTGGCTTTTATTTGAAAGCCACTTTTCTTATTTATGCATACAAGATCTGGGGTGCAGGCCAGAGGTGCGGGGGAATGAGAGGATTCACCAGAGACAGTGGGGAGCACAACAGGCAAATCTACTGAAATACACTGCTGAGGGGAGCAGCGGGCTAGATAGGAGAGGTCTGCAGCCCCATGTGGGTCAGCTCCCTGACAGAGATCCATCAAACTCATGTGGCAATGGCTAAACTGCTGATAGCTTGATAGTGCTGAGACTTTAACCCCTGTGTCACCAGGGAGGACTGATGCTTATTTCTTAACTGGGTACTTGGGTGTTGCTTATACTATACAGGCACACTTGAAGACAATGCATATTCAGCTCCAGACCACCAGATTAAAGTGAGTCAGGACTTTTTTGGGTTCCTACATGTAACTTACGTCTACACTATACTAACTGCAATGACTAAAAAAAACAATGTGCTTACCTTAATGTGACAGACATGAACACATACCGTTACAAGAATGGCACCAATAGACGTGCTTGATGCAAGGTTGCCACAAATCTTCAATTTGTTGAAAAATTGTGAAGCTCAAATGAGGTATGGTATGATACTTTATAACATTTATACACCTGAAATAATTTCTAACAAGTTTGAGCTAGTCTATTGTACAGTACCTTTGAGGTAGGTAGCAGGGGAGTCAATAACAGGCTAATTGATAGCTGTTTGTGTGATATGATTAAATATGCCTCTCTTTGCCCCCTAACCCCGCCACTGATCTGTCCCTGTGTGTTATGATTATCTCCTTATTAAAGCCCCCGAACACAGTTCAAGTGCATCTTGGGTCTGTGTCTTCCAGACTGCAGTCGTGAAACACAGAATAAGTCTGTTGTAATACTAGAACTATAACACTTGCTGTAACACTGGAGCTATAATGTAGTTGCTAAAACTGGGCCAGACTTCGGTCTCTGGGTCTGCAATATCAACTACTTCGGAGAAAGGCAAACTGGACAGCCACAACCAATTCCACCTCAGAGAATATCCAAAAGAAAACCCAATTTATGTACCAGATACAAAGAATCAACAGCTATAAGAGTAAAGACAATCTACTTACAGCTACCTGGCCTTACTCCTAGAGAGCATGGATCCAGGCAAGAAGATCATTACCGGTGAAGACGAATGTCACAGACCTACCTTCTCTACTATGGCATCATAAAATATTCTCCTAAAACCAGTCTTGAGAAAAAACAAAGCCGGAGACACCTGCTTCCTGATTTCAAATTATACTACAAAGCTTTATGTTGTGGGGCAAATTGGGTGTAGGCTGGAGGTGCAAAGGTGAATTCACCAGAGACGGAGTGGAGAAGAGAACAGGTGGATTTATTGAAATACACTGCTAAGAGAAGCAGCGGGTGAGACAGGAGGGGTCTGCTGCACACAGAATGAGGGTCCCGAGGCTCTATTTATACTCCAGGCATCATGACTAGTTAGGGTGACTAGTGTTTTTTGTTTTGTTTTGTCTTGTTTTTCAAGATTTATTTATTTATTTATACAAGCACTGGGTACAGTCAGAAGCGCGGAAGGGTGAGAGATTTCACCAGAGCAGGGAGCAGAACAGGTAGACTGACGAAATACACTGCTGAGGGGAGCTGCGGGCGCGACAGCAGAGGTCTGTAGCACCATGTGTGACCCTTGCCGGTGGCTGGGGATCTAACCAGCACTGTAGAGACTGCGGGCAGCTTTGCAGCCCAGCGCTCAACAGCTGCGCCACCAGGGGAGGCCCATAGTGTGACTAGTCTTTGGTGTGTCCTGACTGATGATCTGAATTAGCATAGAGGATCATCAGCTTTTCAGCTTAATGTCCAGGTTCCCATGGCAGTCCCCTCTACTCCTTTCTCCATTCAAACCTCCCAAACTTGCCTGCTGGGCAAGGAATGGCAGCTTGGGTTTTTAAATATAGCAATGATACCACAACACTATACTAATCAAAGCAGTTTGGTATTGGCAAACAAACAGGCACACAGATCAGTGGAACAGGGAGGCCAGAAATAAACTTACCCGTATATATAGTCAATTGCTTACAACAATGAGCAGTCCCAAGAATATACAATGGGGAAAGGATGGTCTCTTTAACAACTGGTGTTGGGAAAACTAGATGGACAAATATAAAAGTATATGTACATATACATATACAGTTCATATTCAAATAAAGATTTGAATGTGAAACCTGAAGCCATAAAACTAGAAGTCATAGACAGTAAGGTCCTTGGCATCAGTCTTGGGAATTTTTTTGAATTTGACACCAAAACAAAGGCAACAAAAGCAAAAAATAAGAAAGTGGAACTACATCAAACTAAAAAGCTGCACAACAAAGGAAAACATCAACAAAATGAGAATGCAACCAACAAAATGGGGGAAAATATTTGCAAATCATATATCTGATAAGAGGGAAATATTCAAAAATTATAAAGAGCTTTTACAAACTTATCAGTGACAAAAAAACACACCAACAATCCAAATTTTTAAATGGGAAAAGGATCTGAATAGACATTGTCCGAAGAAGACATACAGATGGCCAACAAGTTCACGTAAAGGTGCCCAACATCACTAACCACTGAAAGTGTAAAC